TGACAATCTAGCAAGTGTCTGACATCGCATCCCGATAGCTCACGCTTTAAAGAAGGTGGATTGGCTTGTTTGCTTCGATGATGCTTCACAGCTTAGTTGTCGGTTCGTGTTGGATCCCACCAAATTCTTCTTTCTATTGTTCTATTAAGCATCACTCAGATACACTATGGTCTTCATACCATCTGTTCATTCCTTCTCATATTTTTTTCATTTTCACGCAAAGGTAGAGCTGTCACAACAGTTCTTCCGTCTAGCAGAAATCATATTACCTAAAAGGTTATCACTCTTTCTATTGCATGCTGAAGGTGGGAAATTAAAGAGGGACAGAAAGTTAGAATAAAGGAAAGAAAATGTAAGAAAAGAAGCAAGGAAGAAACGTAAGGAGAAGCGATAGATCGAAAGAAAGCAGAGATTATAGAAGGAAAGAGGGTATGAATATTAGAAAGTGTGAATGGAAGAATGGGATCGCACTGCCAAAATATTTATAAATCATATTTACTTTTATCTTATTTTATTTTCTTGAACTTAATTATACTACCATACTAACAATTGTACGTAATACCTATTTATAGGTTAATGTACAGTAAGGAATAGATAGACAGATGGAATCAATGAAGGGAGGAAATTTGCTTAATTGTTTAAAGAAAACCCATAATGATTGAAAAACGTTGTGTCTCCTTTCTTTACTACATAAACAAAAACTACACAACTGAAGATTAATTTTGGGCACCTTTATTTTTTCATTAGAGTTGCAACTTAATCAAAATGGTGATGTTAAAGCTGCTTTGTTAGAATTTTATAAAATTGATTCAAGCCAAGATAATCGAATTGCTGATGGTTTCAATTGGCTTCTGTCACGTAATAAAAAACACCGCCCTCAGAACTTAAAACAGGAAAAGGTTTCCATGGTTTAATTATGAGCTCCAACAGAACATCAGTTTTATTAGACGTAGCTCAGCCAGTCTGCTTAATAACGATTTGTTATTTGAAGCAAAATCAAAAAACAAATTGGATAAAAACCACTGCATTTTATCAACTCATAGCCTGCTTTATCATAAAAGAGTTAAAAGAATACGTGCATCTGCAAGCTTTGCTGTAAGAAAAACATATTTGTTTACGTTTTGCTGATTAAAAAATGCCGGCTCTTCTGTTTTCTAAATGGGGAAATGAAACTGCATGTAAATAGAGATGTTGCTCCAAAATGCGAGGAAGCAAGATTTTAGCATGTTTTTCCCTTGATTTTGATTAAATGCTAGCCAATGAAATGTGTGAAGCAATTGTGATTGCGTTTAAAGTGGGTTTTGATCATTCCATAATAAAGCTGTCATTTGAAAATACACGGAAATGCAGCAACATGTCGCAATAAAGCTGCCTTTGCTCGACATTCCTCGGAGTATACGCTTTGGATAATGACCAAGTAGCTAATCGGAAATAAGAATTCAGATGCAGTTCTAAGATCGAAGTAACACGAGAAAAAGAACGGCGTGTTTGATTGGTTCCTATCGACGGTGATATCATGTTTGGAATAAAAGTAAATGATTCCATTGATAACAGAATACACAGTGAATAATTTGTTGCCCTAGCACATTGAAGAAGGGACTCTCTCTCTCTCTCTCTCTCTCTCTCTCTCTCTCTCTCTCTCTCTCTCTCTCTCTCTCTTTCTATCGCCTTATAAAGAACATATGAATTAATAACACTGGTTTGAAACTGCTGACAAATCAAACCGAACTCTTGTTGTCAGTTAGCCAATGATTTACTAAATGAAAGCAATTCTCGGCAATTCTAATTTGATTCGTTGATAAGGCAATCAGACAAAAAGATCTGCTTTGCACCTGCAACAGGTTTTAACGAGAACTGATCTCTGTATTGCCATAATAGAGTGATTAACCACACTAGAAACAACGGAAAGTTACATGTTGTTTTACTGGGCTTTCCTATCATTCTATTTTCATGATAAAACACCACCCTAACTCATTTTATCAGCTTGCAATATTTGATTTGTTTTTTAGTTACTGATTCTCAAAACACACGAAAAATTAACGCGTTTTAATAATAACAAAGTAATTTAGTTATTTGAGTTAATTTGCATTGAAATAAAAGGCAAAACTTGTTTAACGATTCTAGATATGAAAATGGCTTTGAAAAAAGCAAACATTTTACGACATACTAAAAGCTTTTTTTTCTGACACTCCTCAGAGCATAAAACGTCAGAATAAGGTTCCGAAAGAACACGATGGAAAATATATACCCAGTTGTGGATCGAAATAGGCCAATCAGAAAAGTTTTCTCAGCAAACTGACTTTTATCTCAGCAAATTAAAAGTATACTCTGTAGTGCAGAAGAGGTCGGATAAACCTGAATGTCTCAGAAAGCCAAGAGTTCTAGATATTTTCATTGGAACTGCAGTTAAAAAGAGTAGAATGGTATTCTAGATAGATTAATGTTTCAAGTACGATACCAAGATTTTGTTTAGCACATGCAACTTGTTAGAGCTTTAGCACTTGCTTCTGTTCTTTCTAATTCTTTGCTACGACCCATCGTGTTCAAATTAATCGATATTGCAGTCGGCAGAAAATGAATCATAGTTATTGGCCGATTCGATTTATCATGAAGTAACACTCGCGGCATAACATTTTCAACTATTCCATCGCTGCATACATTTTTGATCACACGAAAGCATATTTTTTGACAAAGATATTAATATAAGATCGTTCTTTAGATTCAATCAGTAATTTGCAAATGGGCTGAATTGTGTTACTACGCGACTGGTTAAGGCAGAGAGCTGAATTCATAATTCGAGCTTATCAGGAAATCGGCACCACACAAGTCTCGACATTGCAAAGTCTATTCTCTAGATCGTTCTTATTAGTTGCTTTTAGCGTCACGATAACCATTAACTCTTTCAACTTTTAGAGTCACGGTAATTTTTCGAATATTTTCTTAAAAATAGCTTTAGTAAAAAGATATAATCTTTTCTCCTTTACGAGAAAAGTCCTACGGCTAATAATGCTTGTATTCCAATCCAACAGTGACCAAAGCTTTAACAATTTCCTAAACCATTTCTATCAGATTTACAACTACATTTTGTCATTGACAGGAGAGCACAAAACTAAAACTGTTTTTAGTAGCTCCAAAAGATGTCACTGAAATCGTGGAATGAGCAATGATACGATCGTGAAATTCAGTCTTTGAATTACATCACTTGAAACAAGAAGATGAACTTCGATGAAGAAGAAGACTACTCTTTGAAATTAAGAAAACAAACAATCTTTAAGAGATGAACATTTTTGCTTTCAGCTCGTTCAATGAAAAGTCCTCTTGCCCTTCAAAGGCAGTCAAAGTTCCTTGCAAACCCATAGCTTTGTTTACACAGTAGCAACAAAGCCAGAACATGCAAATGCGACTCATAGTAATCGGTGCATTAGAAGTCACCTGTTGGAGGTTGGGTCATACCTAATCATTTGACAAACGCATATGTCACGAACTGCTGAATCAAATTTAGTTTTGCTTGAAATCTACAAACCAAATTATCTTCAAAATCAAAAGTAAAACAAAGACGTTTAAAAGTAAGAAAATTCATTAAACTTGGAAAACAAGAAGTTTGCTGTTCCAGCAAATGTAGTTTGCTGGATATTCACAGAATCATATCTTTTCATCCCATTTGCAGTGAAGCTGTTTTGGAAATTGTGCAACATCAATATTCGAAAGCTTATCCTAAACTTTCAAAGACTTCTGTATTTTCTTCGACCTCATGCACCATTAATATGATTTAAGCTTCTAATATTAATAAAGATTGTCTTTGTGCTGTCTGTGAAATTGGCTAATGACTATTAAGCAGTTTTTGTTATTTGAGATGTTGAGATGGTACGATCGAAAGCTTTTGAAGAAGGAGAATAGTATTTGGGTTCATTATTGACACAGGATGACCTTACCCAAGTTTCGTGACTTGTTGCAATTTTGAAGATTTTTCAACTAGGTCCTTTAGCAAATGTCACATCTAAAGCCAACTTTGATCTGCGCAAAAAAGGCTCACATTGCTTTAAATGCTTTTATCGTGTTGTTTTCAATGCTTTCAGTTTACTAACACCTCATCAAGGAAATTTGATGCTACTTTCAATCATTCAACATTGCATTATTTCAATATAGCTTTTTTCTCCCGTTCTCCGCATTCTGATGTGAGACTTTCCATAACAATTTGTATTCGTGCAACTAAATTCTACAAGTTTCTGCTAAAAACGCAATTTTGAATGTTTGAAAAGGAACAAGAAGGCATTTTCACAGAAGAACGCTACCCTCTCCTCACCTTATCTAGTGGTTACCTCTGAATTCATAAGGTTTGACAGACTAGTATCAATCCGCAAAATTACTGAACAAGGACATGCAATCCTATTGGAAAAATGAAAGAGCCACAAACAGTTAGCAATACGCACGGTATTCATCGTTTTGTTTTTTAGGGCGCACAGAATAGTTTCTCCACTTGTATTCTAAAAAAGCGTATTTTGTTTTGTAGGTTTTTATATCTCTCGTAAAAGAAGATATTGAAAAGATAACCTTTACTGGAGTTTTACCGACAGCTGCAACAACGCTTCTGAAGTCGTCAAGCCACATACGACTTCAAAGTGGGAGGTGTGGTGTGGTATGCCTCAAGTTTGGCTTCCTGACTCTGTCTGATGAAGACATTTTTATAATGAAGAGCAAAGAAAGGAAAGCAATAATTATTTGTGCTTGCAACTATCGACCTAAAGCTTATCGATAAGTGATAGCGACTTTTAAGCGTCCGCAGTGATATCATAGCTGTTGTTGCCGACTCTACTGGTACTAGGAAGAACGTTAATTGAATAGTTTCGCGATCAAACGTCTGATTGCAAGCAGTTCATTCAGTATTCAAAGAAGCCAGTCATATGAAGAAGCGTGTTGTGAAGTGACTGCAAACATTTCTCCCAAGAAGAAAACAACCAGTGCAGCTCTCGCTATTGAGGATTAGATCGCTGAAAAACACGATGGCGTGTGTTGCTAAGGAGAATATTAACTACATGGATGGCTTTTTGCTTGTCGTCATTCAAATAATCGCTATCTCTGGAAATAGCTTGTTCTTTGTTGGACTTATAAAATTTCCATCAATGCGAAACACCACGAATATTTTTCTTTGTTGTTTGGCATCAGCAGACATTATTGTGGCACTTGTTCCAATGAGTGTTACATTTGCTATCTATGCCTGTAATTTTGGTCCTAGAGATCAAACAGACCTTCTTTATAAAGATGTCACACTTACCTATATCATACTTGACATAACATGCGGAACAGCTTCCATTCTTTCGCTAACAGTAATCGCAATGGATCGTTATTTCGCTATTAATTGGCCCTTTGTACATGAACGTGTCATCGTACCCACATTGGCGGCATGTGCTGTCGTAGCAATTTGGCTGATAGCATTCACAACAAGCTTGATCCGCTTAGACGAGTCATTGCCAAAATCACACATTTTGTTGTCAAACATTCTTATTTCCTTTGGAATTCCGCTGGCGGTTATGACATATTGCTATGTAAACATCGCTGTGATCGCGCGAAGGCAGTCGATACGCATTGCGCAACTTACCGCAGCAGGACTATCATCACAACGCCGGTCGGAACAAACGGAGACTGAAACAACAAACATGGAATTGTCTGGAAGAAATGAAGCCAAGCCTGATGTGGAAGGATCAAACAACTGTGCCATTGAAGGAAAAGAAGAAGAAAGGAAATCGAAAAAGGATACAGTATCAAAAACTATGTCGACGATTAGGAGAGGAACAGTCCATGCAGTGACACGGTTGAAAAAAGTTGGCAAAGAGCTGAAAGCTGCCAAAACATTGGGAATCGTAATGGGCGTATTTATCTTGACATGGACACCGTTCATGAGTGTAAACATAATCTCTTACATGTATTGCCATCCCTACACTCCAAAATGCAAGGAAATGCTGTCGTACAATATGGTGAAGTACTTAAAATTGCTGCACTATGCATCAAGTGCCCTAAACCCGTGCTTATATGTGCTCCTGAATCGCAAATGGAGGGATATATTCAGACAGATGCTCTGCTGCGGCACTGCAAATAGGATTTCTGGGGAGATGCGAACTTCATTGGTGGGAGGCTGGTGAAGAGAACTGATAGACAAAGTTGTTAGTATTGGCACCGCTACACCTGCTCTGTAATGTAATGCCACTACAATGTTACTTCTACCAACCACCAAAATGCTTTCAAACTATCATAGCGGAATGAAGTTACAAATGCTGATGATGTCATTTTCAGGAAAGAGAAGAATAAAACAAGAAACAAAGTAAAGATACTGTTACTAGGTGTTGTTGGACCGTTTAACAGCTTTGTTGCTTGCAAGATAATGTAACACAATTTACTGCTTAATTTTGACGTTGCAATTAGGCTTAAATGCAATTTTTACCATTAGTAATTGAGTTGTTCAGCATTCTACTGTTAAACAATGTTAAGTTGGTTTTCTGTAAATGTATCTAGTGTGTAGATAGCTAGTCTTGAGATGACGTATAGATAAGGCGCAAAAACATTTGAAAAATTGCTGCTTTCGCCAGCTCAACAAAGCCCACCAATGAAAAGGATTCGAATCCAATAATCTTGTCAATGTCAATATTTTTCCGGGATCAACTCCTGCGCAGAGGTGATACATATGGACAAACTAAAAGTAGCAAGATGCATTATTGCTCAGATCCTTGGGTTTTGAAATTCTGCTTCACTTGTATTTTATAGAAATGCAGTTATAAAAGGATCAATAACGTAGCTAAATGTATTAAGTAAGCAATCAATATTTCAAATTTTCATGACAGTTATATCTGTTGATGTGTTTGCGTCACATACTAGTTGGATACTCTTACATTGTATTGTTGCTTCTAATGTCAGCGGTAAAATACTGAATATATGCGCTGCCAGCGGATAACAAAGATCCTGCATTCAGAATATTTTTACCTTTCTCGTTCGTCGCCTTGAAAACTTGCATCGAATAAATGCAGCTTGCTTCAGGCTTATTTTGAGAGACAAGAAACTACTCTGGGTTAATTAATTCAATAATATTTCAAATATGAATTTAGCAAAAGCATATCTTAATAAAGCAAAAGAATTTTAAATAAGAAGTATTCGCACAGCGTTTCTTCTCTTTCGTTTTCTTTCCCACCTTTCTCTCGTCGTCTTCCTCTTTTTGAACAATCTCTTTCACGCATGCAGAGTTAGAGCGTATGAAAGAATATGGTAAATAGGGCCAGGGCCAAAAGAATTAAATTGAAATAAATCAGCGTCCTCTGCAGGGAGTCTTTTGCTTTCAGCGTGATCATTATGGTTCCAAAGACCGCTGCATTCTCAAATATTGAGGACCCTTTCCCGGCAAGAGCTGGCTTCGATGTGCCTATTGAGGACTTTTTAGTATAAAAGTTGAAGATTTGAAAGGCAGATGCCCTTCCTGCTGCCCAGCGTCGAGCACTTTACCAGCTAAATTGGACCTAGGAAAGTACATTTGTGAAAGACCAACAGGTATTTCTCTACAGTTTTTTTAAATGTCTTAAGGAGTGTTAAAGCAGTGTCTTAAAGTAAATTAGACGAAATCGTTTGAAGAGGTGTTGGAAAAAATTGGTTCTGAAAGTTTCCTGGCATATTTATACATTATTCTCACTTTACACTGATTTCTACAAGATTTTTTGGAATCTATGTAACTAGATTAATAAGCATTTCTCTCTGAATTCTGTGCCAAAATTGCTTGCTATTTGTTTCATGCTTGGTCAGAGCAAAAGAGCAGAATTCTATCAAAGTGTTAAGACCAACTAAGCAAGGTGTTTAGTCAAGGTAATAACATTTCACAGTTGGCTTCTTTACATAATTTAAGCAATTTCATGCACTAGCATCGCAGTTCATAGCAAAAGACCTGGATGAAAGTTCATTTTGAAGACAAATTTACAGTGTCTCAGGTAAATATGAATCTTTGTTTGAATATTTTGTATGTAATACCTTTTCTATCATTAGGGGTTTTGTTTTATGAAAGTTATCAGCAATATCACAATTATTTGCCACTGCCAGATAACAGCAAGTTAGAGCCTCCTTTGGAGCTTTTCACAAAACGTCTTCATACGAGATTTTAGACCACATATTAGCATTTAACATCTAACTTTAGTACAGGTAAACTTTCTTTTCAGATAGTGTTAATAGTAAGCATTTTATGGCAATATAAAGTTCATAAAATCTAATATGATTTGTTTGCAAATTTTCCACCCCCTTATATAAGTGAATAAAATCCCTAATAGAATTCCAAACAATCCCAAGCTGTTGAATCTGAAGCTGGGATCAATGGCTCTACGTGCAATAGGAAGGAGTTTCGACTTGTTGTGAAAAACGAAAATACTTAATTAAAATTTTGCATACTAACAACATTATGCAAACAAAAACAGTCTTTCATAGAGGCAAACAATGTTTAGGGAGAATTTTTAACTTTGCCACCAGCAACAACTTTTCCAAGGCAATTTCAAAAAAGCATTGCCAGCAAAAACCAAGGAAATATATTTAGTGACTATGAAACTGAAAACACTCATGCTTAATTTGATTTAAACAGTTCCCATAGTAACAAATAAACTTCCGGTAGAAGCAGCTAGGCTAGGAAGCTTTTTTAATGAATCTAAAACATCACGCTGCCTTTAATGATATGAAACATTAAACTAGGGTCACGTCGCCCTGATTGAGTATTTCGCGTAGACTTAGACATAAACTTGGCACTGACAAAATCCTTTAGGCTCTTCAGATACATATTTCAAAATATCAGGTAATTGGTTCTACAACGTTTTTTAAAAAAGCTGCGATACTTCTTAGTTGATGGCCTAAATTTCTGGAGCCACCCTGATGGTTATGTTTTCCGTATGTAAATATTAGCACGCACGAATGAAAAATTGAAAAGAAAATACGTGATTAAACACTTGCAAACACTCTCAAAACATTATTGCTTGCCAATGTTTCATTGAATTTTTTATCCGCCGATCTGGCGCATGCAAGATTGTCACTTTCGCAAAAGTAAAAACAAGGGGAAATTAGAGGCTTTGACAAAGTGCAATATTTTAGCCGAAAATTGTATTCAAAATTTATCAAATTTGCTCTAGAGTATTTTGTTTAATTAGAGATATTTGACAATTTGAATTTACAGGTTTCTTTTTTAGAATTAATGCGAAACAACTACCAAACTAAAACAGCCGTTTTAATGTACCCAATCAGGGCAAATTTAGGCCAAGTCAGTCAGCTTTATTTCACTCCTCTCTGTGGCAAAACAAATTGAAAGCTGAGCGATTTATGCCAAGATCCTTAATCCTCATGCACGATTTGTGCCTAAAATTGCTAGGTTAGCAGCTATAATATGCTCATCCCTTTAAAAAATAATTATGAAAAAAAGAGTACTGAAAACATCCTACACAAAATAGCAGACACTTCTTCGTTTCAGGTGAGTCATTTTCTTGTCCAATTTTTCATTCATCAATTTAGTAATTGAATGCAAAATATTTTCTTAACTTTGATAAATGACATATACACATGATTTCTTGCTTTTTTGATCGCAGCTTAGCCCCAATCTCCCAATTTTTTTCGCAATAGTTGAAGCGATGTAAATATCACGTTTCCAGGTACATACTCAATCATGGTGATGCGATGCTATCTGTGAATGGTGTAAATAACATTGCAAAAAAAATTATTGCGCACTTAAAGTACTGGTGACTAAATTGTTACACCTACATTATAGTGGCAGCAATCAAAGGATTTCTAAGGGAACTCGAACCTCATGTAGCACTATGTTTTCATTCCTTTCGTGCATTAAATACATGGTATTTTGTCCCTGTTTTCCAGGAAGCATGCTATGCGACGATTGATTTTGATAGAGCTTGTATATATTTAAAAAGTTTATTGCATGAAAGGTTATTCAAGATTATTAAAATTATGAAAGATTTTTAAAAAGACATTATACAGTTCTTTCCAGTAAAGATGATTGTTTCTGGAAAACAAGCCTTTTCCAAAGTTGTTTATTATAGTGAAAAATGATTGCTTTCTTGTGGGTGTTTTAGGGAGAATGTTCTCATGAAACATGATGTCTTATCAAATGAGAGTTGTCTGAAATGAACATTGCAGAAACTGCGTTTGAAATGTCATATGTTTTAAAATGGTGTATTATTTTATTATAAACACCTTAGTTGAAAAATAGGTTTTAGCTTTTTGTTAAAGAAAACAAGAAAGAAAGAAAACAAAAATTTAGGATCTTTCATGGTTTCTCCACTATAAAAGTTTTAGAGAATACAAGTCCATACAGATGGCTGAATTGAGTTGTTCTGTATAACAATTTTTACAATCCCAACTTGGTCCTTCTCCAATGTCTTCTTTTGGCATTGTATCTAGAAAAAAAGGAAGCTATGCATTATATTTGGCCAGCATTATATATGCCGGCAAACAAGGATTCTTCTGCTGGATAATTCTTTGCTTAAGAATGACAACAAAGTCTGAAGCTTACTTACTATACTGGAAATAAAGACCTAAGAGGTAGTTGTCTTAACAGCAGCATCTATAAACCTGTTTGGTGTTTAACGCAGACAAAAATTCATGTTCATAGGATTCTGTAATTAAGACAAAAGATAAATGTACATGAATAATACAATGAATAAATAGAGAGGAAAGCACATCAGTCTATTTAATCAATGTAAGAACACCACTGATAACTATACTTCAAGACTGAATAAGGAGCTAACTTAGGGTCAGTCACAGATATGTGTCAATCGCATGGAATATGGGAGCAAGAAAATCACTAACCTTATTCTGTTACCAGTTCTCATTCTGGTCCACTGGGGGATAGGTCTGTTTTGCTTCATTTTCTTAGCAAGAACTCGCTTGATTTTGAAAGTTTTGTGGGCAGCCTTGAAAAAAGGAAACAGCCAGAATTTACTGTCAATAGCCAGAATAATTTGAGAAGAAAAACAGATCAGTTAATGATCAAGAAAGTAATAAAAAAATATGGGTCATCCAAACATCGGCTTGTGATCAGTGCGCAGTATTTGATTGCCATCTTTCTGACTGAATTGGAAATTTTGCAAAAAAAGTGATTATTGTTAGGTCTAATGGAACTTTCTGTATGTTTCTATCTGGTGCTGCATCTGCAACTAGAATGAATTAATGCTGAAACCTATTGCCAAGACAGTAGGTGAAATTTTTTGTTATAGTGTTGAGATGATAGGCCCACAGTACCAAGTTGACCATCCAACTTTCTGATACACTCTTTTCCTTTCTTAAGCAGAATCTTGAAAATATCATTCTAAGTTATCAAAGCAGAACTAAGTTATCAAAGCAGGCAGAACTTCATGAGGTATGGCAGCACAACATAATTGGCTATAACAATGTTCACTTAAGTGGAAGTTAGTGAAGCCCCTTCTTGACAACGAGTGCTTTCGTCGACCTCATACTTTTCCTAGACAAAAACTTTCTTGCAGAACTGCTACTTATTGATGCACAAACATCTGCAGATTTCGAATACTGGCCACAAAAAATCCCTAGGTAATAGCATTTAAAATTATCAACACTTTCAATTTTCAAAGGTGTGTGATCTCTAGATTGGAATCTTTGAAAGATGTGCAGGGATCTGTTTCATGTCCACGAAAACTGCGCATTTGCAAATAGCAGAGATAAAGATTTTGTGCAGCTAAGACTAATTACCATAAAAACACAGTATGTAACTTTTGGGTATACATTCAGAGAAAAAGATCAGTAACATCATTAGTGGTGATAAAAACAATATAGCAAAGATAAACATCTTTCATAATTCCTGAAAAAAAGAACGAGAGGGACCCAACCATATGAGAGTAGTTCCCATAAACCAAAATCTGCTCAAACTTTGAAAACTTTATGCACATTGTAATAAATTTGATCATCCTTTCCCATGTGCATTTTACTCCCAGAGATGATAAAAATATCCTCCACATGTTTGCTGTTATGTGGCATATGTGTGTACAAAAACCAGCCTCGCGTGTACAGAAGCAAAAAGTAATGAGGACCTAGACGATCTGTAACTCTGAGGGTCTTTCTGGATAGTTTGTGATTCAAGTACAATATTTTGCCCACTGTTAACTAGAAATTGCAGCTTGAAGAATTTCAATTTTCCCGTACATTTCGTCAAAACCCGTGACTATTTCCCCATTTACTAATTAACGAACACATAGACAGGAAAAATTCTGCTGAACTGCAAGACACATTACGAGAGGAGCTGGAAAGCGTATATATCTGTACAAAAGCTGGAAAATGTCAGTTCGATTACTATGAAAGTTATTAGACGTTGTCAGTTAGGCCGGTATTATCTCAACCGACCGACTCAAAGACGAGCCATCTAAACACAATCACATCAGATCCTTTATTATGAGGCAACAAGAAAAGCGTTGGTGTTATTTTCAAGTAAGTGAAAGTGGTTTTATGGCCAATATTTTTAATTTTTCTCACCATTTTACTACGGCTATAATCCAAACTTTATCAACTTCGAAAAGGCTTATTAAGCCTAACGAGGCTGGTCTCGATCAAAATCCCAGCCTCAATTTCGTTTGCAAGAAAAAGTACCATTTCAGATCAGTGATCATATTGGACAGACAGGCTATGCATAGCGGTCTAATTGTAAGAGGCTCCCCCCCCTAGGCTAAACCCCCCTCCTCCCAAACGAAGATAGCGTAGACTAACTATGCCAGGCCATGTTTAACTTTTCTCCCCCCCTTCCCCAAGCTTGATGCTGAAATCGCTATTATTAGAGAGCGTACACCCCAGTTTTGAATATGGGAGGAGGGAATGGAGGCTGGACTATTCATGCATGCTGCTGGGCCCGTGTTTGTGAGTTTCTCTTAACTGTTTGTGTGGCTCCTTTCGATATTCAGGAATAAATCGTTCATGTCATATATTGGCTACTATTCATACATTTTGTCTGGCAATATTTACATTAACTTTTTGCCCACCCAGTCAAGCCTATTTAAATCGGTTTTAGCCCCCCCCCACTTTATTAGACCTTCCACTTTTCTCAACGGGGTCTAAAAGTGCTAGGGCTAAAACCGAATAAAAAGCAACTTTACTGGTTGTGCACTTGTTAGTAATTTGCATTTTTAGTATTTTGTCTTTTTTATAAAAAGTATCCATCTGTATCACGAGCTTCAGACCTGTCAACTTTAAATTTTCAAAACCTAGAGATTTTAGATTTTTCCTAAAGTGAAACAGACCTGACAAAATGCTGTGCTCGGCAATCAGTTTATGACAAAAGTGATTATGAGAAGTATCTTCATAATAGTGCTTTTTTGTTAATCAGTAAGCACTAACAAAAAATTGTTGTCATGTAGAAGTCAATGTGACCATTATATCTTAATTATACCTCTGTAAAAAGAAAGCACACACCATGGACCTGTCTTTGAAGCATAAGATGCGCAGTTCAATCGAACATTCGGTAAAGAATCTTCCTAGACATTCTGCTAGACATCTTTGAAGCCGGGAGAAAGATTTTAAAAAACGGGAGACCTGAACCGGGAGGGTTGACAGGTCTGCGAGCTCAGTCACCACAGAGCAGAAAGGAAGGAATCATTAATTTTTGTATTAGACTCATTTTTTATGAAAAAGGGTCAACTTCGAAAGTTCCATTTTCTTGATGCTGTTTGAAGTTCCAATACTCATTGTTCTTCAAGGGTTTCTTACTTATGATTTATATGTCATTTTTTTCTTGCTAAGAAATTTTGGATTTACTAATTTTGGATAGGAAAGCAGAAGGCCATGTGTTCACAGATGCAAATACAAGTGAAACCCGTCAAAGTTTCTATTGTTTTGAAATGCTCGTGGAACTTCTGTCAAAAGATTACCCGTGTCTACAGTTTTATGCCAAGCAACCAATCATGATGATGTATTTTCACGCGATTTCGGATTTTTTAGTTTTGTTTTATAACTATTCTTGATTTTTTTATTCCCATTTTTGCAGGTTATCGACTTTTGACTTGTGCGGGGGAAGGAGGCGCAGCACAGCTTGACGAGGCTACGAGGCCTATGACATGTAACGGTTCTAGAAAATCAAGGTGTCCTGCGGAAAATCTTTTAGGCTTAGTGGTTTGCAAGTTCTGAAATGTCAGTTTCCTTGTCATGCAAAATTGTGTAACATGAGTTAAAAGAATGAATTCAATTGTGATGACAAGCTAGTCTGTAATATACGTTGAAGTGTTGAAAAGTCCGTCTATTTCCGTCAGCGAAAAGAACAGGCCTACGTGGACACAAAATTTGCCTAAGGCCCAACTAAGCCTTCAAGCTTCACGATGGACTGGCTAATGGGTATTGGGTGAGTCTTGACTTTTGCATTAATTTTACTGTTTTGAAGTAGGAAAAACAGAAGAGCGATTGATATTTTCTTTGAGGCAAAAAAGAGTATTCCCGAACCAGAACCATTTCGATGACCTCTCAAATCTCATGACTCTGAAATTCAGGAATGACCTTTTTCACCCTGATCACACCACATCATAGGCATAGGTAGATTAACCCAGGTTTCCTCTTTGGTACTGTATTGCCTGTTACATAATTACATTGGACTGTTTTAGTTGGTTGCCGTTTTACTGACTGGATAGCGTGGCCTAAAGTTCTGTAAAATACCCCAAGCTGCCTCTTAATTCCTTGACAAGTAGACACATTTCTTATTTTCCGTCTTCATAATTTGTTGTAAAGCTAGTTTTCTCTCTACTTAAAGTGTCATTATTACCGTTCCAATAACAAATTTAACTTAAAAATCATTTTGGCCATCTGTTGGAGATTATTTTGTCATTCATAAAACTAACATCACACAACCATATAGATGTTTGAAAGGACATGTAATTCTAAATAACATAAAACTCATCTTCATCTTTCTATTTTATATATCTGCAATATATTAATGCCTTATGTTTTCTTTACAACCAATGAATATTTATTTTCTAATGGAACTTGCCTTTTCCTATTGTGAAATTTATTTTCCCCCTTGTATCCACAAATGACTGTGACTTCCTTGATTTATCTTTGAGAAAATATACACAGCTGTGATCACAGTATAATCAAAGTTTTTTTCTGAAAAATAAGATAAATGTATTCTGGAATGGACATTTAATAAAAATGAGAATCTTTTTCTACATCAATTGCCCAAAATTTCAGTGTTTTCATTTTTGGAAAAGTAGGAGCTGGCTCGGTTTACCAAGAAGGAACATTTTTGATGAGATCCCAGTATTGAAAGCATGTTCTGAATTTAAATGGCACATGCACTATCAGGCGTAAACACATAAATCAATTCATGAAGCTGAAGAAAAGACAATAAAAAACCTAACCTTTCAAATAGAAATCATCATAGCTGAAAACAGTTTCTTGATAAGCAATGCACTTTAAATAAATTTTCTCTAATTAAAATATGTTTTCTCTAATAGCCGTTAGGAAGTTGCAGCCAAGGTGACCCTGCGAGCCTGCTCCATGTAATTACATCTCTTAATCTGCCTTAATCAGTGTAACTACATCCGAATAGTCAGCCCCTAAGTGAAACAGTATCACAGGATAATCCAATTAACCTTGTGTCATACACACCAAGGTGTTTTTATGGTATTAACAAATCACAGGTCACCTTTGCTTTTCATTATCTATGGTAAACTTTGACGCGAACATGGGATGATTGTGAAAGGAGGGGGCCTTATCTCCATCAAGAGAATTTGGACTTCTTAATGAGGAGATCTTTTGAAAATTTTTATGTGACTTTATGTTGAATCAAGTGAATTGTGGACTTTAGTAACCTTAAATGGTATAATATGCTATTTAAAAGATAATTAGAATTTTTTTGCTTTAGGCGAGTTATTTTGAAATTTTTGGCCTTTCATTAATCCTTGTTGTTTAATGTGTGCGATCACAAGCGCATGCATCGACACATGCATGTAGAAAAAAATACAAGCGATTCATCACACGCATGAGTCAGGCATTTGACCATTGTTTTTACCTTCCTAGGACTGTAGTTATTCAATGAAATGTTGGAAATTTTGCCTACAAAAGCTCAGGAACATTGCCTTATTCTTATAATAGCTTTTCCAAAGGAGATGCAATGTTATACGCAGACTGAAAATATAACATAACATAAAAGCATACACACGTGCAGCAAATGTAACATAAAAGGATTTCCAATCTCAAAATCAATACCTTGTGGCTTGGATTCAATAAAGGCACCATTAAAGGCAGTTTTTAATAATGCTGTCTTTTTAATCGCAAATTTCACCATTTAAAATGTTGTATCTGCAGAAAATGTTTGTCTGTGAAATGTTTCTGCAAGCATTAAATCCCAGAGGGTGTACTTGTATACTTTTAGGATAGTTTCAGGATAGAATACTTTTTGGGTCTAGAATCAGAGTAAGTTGTTTTTGGGCCAGTCATTTGTACATTCACATTCTGGGGCCCTTGAAATTCTGAACTACTTTTTGGGTTTCAAATATGATAAAGGTTTAAAAAAAACTGGGAAAAATTGCAAACTTTCTCAGGAATGCGAAAAAAATACTTTTTTGGTCAATTTTTAAGCTAGAAATTGATTTTTTTGGGTTGATGGTTTGAACTACAAGCTGGGAAACCCTATCCTGAATGAATTTGAGTACCCCTCCTCTCTCTGGGAATTAGTTTCACCAAGCACATTTTTGTCATTTAGTACAGACTTCTCTGAAATGCTTTAAAAATTAATCTGCAGTTTTTGTGCTTTAATAAATTTCATTTGCTAAAAGTGTGAGATGGATCAAATACTAAAGTCGGAGTCGAGATATAGGGGCCCTTGGCCATGGTTTTTCCAGGATGCCAATCTTTTCGCATCAGGCGACATGTTTATGACAGTTTCCAAGTTCTTGTGGACTGATGAATAGTAGGTTAGTGGAAAAATATCTCAAGTTAGATATTTTCTCATGTTTTTTTTCTTGCTGGTTTTACCGCACAAAGTTGTTGATAAATTTTTGTGCACGAAAATTTCATATTTCTGTACGATCGTACACTCGTATGCTTAGCTTTCGAGCCCTGGGTGTTGTGCTAGGAATTACTGTTTTGAAAGGGTTACTTAAATTTTTTCCATGAATGGGCTAATCGTTTTGCTCTGTTAAAATTCCACTGGTAAAAAGGCATTGCCCTTTTGGCCCAGACTGACTGTGTTATTTCACAACATTTTTACATTTTTTTTCATTTTCATTCTTTTTACTTATGTTTAATTATAATAAAAACAAGTAAAGTAAATAAAATCGAACTACTAACGATAACGCAGATCACCCTTAACTTGAATAAACTGCTCGAAAATTATTATTTCAAAGATTGGATGGCAATGATATTTTAGATGATTAGGTACCTTCCGTAAAGTTTCCAAAACTAATGTTTCCAAAAATGAACCCAAATAAGTAGGCTCTGAAAAAAGTTGGAAAGTGGGGAAACAAGGGCAAACTAAAAACTAATAACAAAAAATTTTGTAAAAGATATTGTTTGTTTTGCAACAAAAGTGGGGGGGGGGGGAAGCATGGCTCCCAGGCCTTTTGTTGTTGTAGGCCCTGGGTAAGAGTGTGCATCGCACGTATGAAATATGTTATGTTTGTGATTTACGACACACATAAAAATACTTTTAGAACACCTCATAAACATTTTCTGTGACTTAAGCTTTATTTTCATTTAGGAAATGTAAATAGTTTTAAGGGAATTTTCAAAGGATGGAATTCTACCATGAATACTTACTATGAAACAATGTCACTATATATCATTTAAAGGTGCATCTTGCGAAAGGACAGAATATTTTGTATTTTGTCATGGTAACAAATACTGAAGGACCAAGATTCATTGTTTGTACTGACTCTAATGGTAAGTTAATGTACATTAGATCAGCAAGCTCCTCAGTGGTCGGAATTTATCAATGGCAGATTGGCAAATTCTACCTTTAAGCTTGCTGTGGTGCATATTTGTTAATGCAATAACTAAATCTTTTGTATGCTGTTAACTGCTGCGTCAATTTTGCACAACATCTTCAATGTTTCACTGACATTAGACAAATCCCAAGGCTGGAAAAATTGTTGTTGAACTTGGACAACACTTAAATTGGCCAAGAAAACAAATCAACAATATCAAAAACAATAGCCAAGGGGACCAAGGTGTCAATTTTTCATATGACAGATGGCAACTTGACACAAGTGAAGTAACAAGTGACGCAAGTATGTAATATTCGACGGAATTTGTTGGAAAGGGTAAAAAAAAGGAGTATGCTATAAGAGTATGCTATAGGAGTATGTCATATTCGAGAGGCTTTTTTAAGGCAAGAAGAGGAATAGGGTTGATAAAATTTCTGTCTAAGTATGTTTCACGTACTGTGCTTGAAAATCTATAAACTCTATAGCAGACCCCATCTTGATTACGGTGATATTATCTATCACAAACATGATCCACACATGACCCTTGACGTCACAAAAAGACTTGAACAAACACAGTACTCTGCAGCTCTTGCTGTAACTGGTGCATGGAGAGGTACAAGTAGGCAAAGGCTCTATGATGAACTAGGATGGGAGGATTTGTATCATAGAAGGTGGCGGCTGTGCCATCTCTTTAACTTGCTTAAAAATCGCCAACCGGCGTATCTGTTTGATGAAATTCCTGCTGCACCTTAAGTTCCGTATTCTCTTAGAAACGTAAATGAATATGATGCAGCTGTCTGCAGAACTGCTCGCTTTTCAAACACATATTTCCAGAATGTGCTCCTTGAATGGAATGCGTTAGCAAAAGATGTTCGCGAGTCAAATACGATAGGTGAATTTAAACGCAAGCTGCTTGCGAAGATAAGACCAGACAAGAAACCATTATTTGAAATTTGCAACACACGTGGTGTGAGATGTATAACTATGCTCCGGGTTAGATTCAGTCCCCTAAGCGAGCACAAGTTTCGGCACAACTTTGAATCTTTGAGTCCCGCCTGCACGTGCAATACAGGCATTGAAGGCAATGAGCATTTTCTCCTGCATTGGCCCGTGTATGACCAGATGCGTAACGATCTCTTTGATCAGCTTTCGAAAATCCCAGGACTTGAGCTTGATAATCTTAACTCTGAGGCCCTATGTGAACTACTCCTTTTTGGTAATCCACGGTTCAACAATATTGTGAACAAATTGATTTTGGAGGCAACAGTGTCATTCATTTTGTCAACTAGATAGCTAGAGGAAACTGAATAAAACTACCAGCAGCTCCCTACCCGTCTTATTTACTGTATTTTGTTTATCTAATCATTAATTTGAGTAAGTTTGTCACACATTAGATATTCCTGGAACTTTCCTTCAACATTTTTCGGCATGTCTAGGCTGTACAAAAATATGAGTTTAAGCATCAGAATTGCAACACGAAAATGGCTGATTTCTTTGTTGGAAAGAATGAGGTGCTTAAATGGGTATTCCCTTGGTGTATATTTGATTTCATGAGTTTTGTGTGTGTTGGAGTGATTTTGTTGTTGTTTGATGTCAACCAACCTTTCCTTAACAGAAATCTTTATATTTTATATTTTGTTTTGTTTTTCGTTTCTTTTCCTACTTACATCTTTTCCTACAACAATATGCTTTTAATACAATGATTACACACATTAAAAGATCCTCTCTAAAATATAACTCGCAAATGTAAAATCTAAAAAATTTTGACTGACAAGTGAATAACTTTCTACTTCCTTTTGAGTCACGTCTAGTTGCTACATTGCATATCAAATCAAAGCTCTGCTCATTGACGCAATTATAAATGTTCTGTGGCATTTGGAATTTAGTTGTAGTATCAGAAAGCTTTTGATAAAACTTTGTCATATTTTGTGTACCATAAACTCTTTTTTCTCTTAGTAGGTTGAATAGAATTTTAGTCATACTAATCACCAATATTCTAGTATTTTGACATTTATGTTTTTGTGTATTTGATGCTCACAACGTAGCTGTATGTTGGGTATATTTGGTGGCATAATGCATGTAACGGTTTTTTAGAAACTTAAAACATAAGAAAATAGCAGTTGTTAGCTTGGAAATGAGTTTTCTATCTGACGATAGCTTGCTAGTATGAGGAACATGGAAACATCTTTTCGAAGAAGGCTCCTTCATTGTGGCCACCCTTTGGATATCTAAGAACCAATTAGGCTACTGATCGAAATAGAGGAGAACAAAGGAATTAATATTTAAAGCAGGCAGGAAGAAAACATTTGCTTCAATAGTGTATTACCAATTGCTTCTGTTTTCATCGCTAATTGTGGTTGTTCGCTTTTTGATTTTCATTGGCAACGAACTGTATCTGAAACTGCATGTTTTTAGGGGATATTTGAACCGTTTCCAGAATTTCACTTTGTTTGCAGAAGGTTTCAATATTTGAGGCGCTGAAAATGAAGTGTGTTTATTAATACCCGTTAAGATTGACATTGCCCTTGGATACTGTGCTGTTGAATTTCTGCATTCACTGTTTTATTCAGACACCTGTCATTTTCGATAATCGATATTGCATTTGAGAAAGCCGGAATATTTAAATATAAATCTCATTGCTCACTGTCAGGAGATCTCCACTATTTTGGCTGACCTGAAGCTGGCGAGCAGCATTGCTCCTACCCTTTGTTAATCTTACAGCACAGGAGAGCGATGCCCTGTCCTCAGGAGGCAACGTAGCCCCCTAAAGTGCTATGTCCACCGCCCGATGACCTGATCCAGGCCAGCATCTCTTGCAGGAATTACGAAATTTTGATGCTTCGATATTTATGAGATTTTCCAGAAAAGCAAGGATATTGCGCAACTGGCATGCTTAAATGTACACCATTGAATCTGAATAAGGCCTGGCTCATATATTGCAATGTTTTGCACCACAATACCACAAATTTGGTAAGCTCAGCCATGTGTTTTATTCACGTCCTTATTTCCAGTAGTTTAATGCACATTTCAGAAAAACCAGTATTGTTGTTTGAACTCACGTGCTCCAACCAGTTAGTATTAAATTTCAACTTTAGTTTTTTCCTTATAACTATCCTTATCTTGTAATCAAATACGGAAGTTCGTTGTTAGATGCATTCTAGCGCCTGAGTTGGATTATACAGGTCAATTAGCTGTTTGTAAGTTTTTTTAACTGATACCCGACCTGTTTTCCATTTCTTCCATGAAAGGCAGAGCCAACATTTTCATATCCTGGCCCTTTCTGTTATATTTGTACTACGTCACATTATTATTCAGGGACGAAGAAATGCTTTACCCCATTAACGAAAGAAAAAGTCTTATCAGATTGATATTGAATTCACACAAAGCATTATCGTTTATGTTTGATGAACCAGCATCTGAGTTTGCTAGATATTCAAGGATTGGTTCCTTTGAATGTAGTAATGAGAGGGCATTTGCCCGTTCTTCCCTTCGAATATTTATTCGGCTAAGACAACATACTGTGATTGTTATGCTTTTCAAATAATTTTGTTGGTTGGTTCCTGTGTTTGAGTCAACAAAGGTCATGGGTAGTTTAAACCACCTTCCTGCGTCATTTTCCTCTCCCCATAGCGATATGCCTACTTATTAATCTTGTACAATGTACAGAAAAGTGAATCATTTATTATTTCAACTCTTCATACCCTACCGGATTGTGGTATTCCCCTCGTTCTCATGGTCACAGCCAAAACGAGGCACCCCGCTAGTGCTTTGCTGGTGACGTCACACTTGTATAATTTGTCCTCGTCATGCAGAATTTAAAATTTCTAACGAACTGGAAAGCTTTGCAAGATATGCAAGGCAATTACAATAACACTTTAGGCAGAAATTAACTTATAAGTTCTGTAGTTGGTCATCTAGCATTATAAGCTGTGTTATTTTCAGAATGAAATAGATTTGAGTATCTTATGTACAGAAAAGCATCTTAGCTTAGTATGATCAATTCTTAATCATGTTGGTGAATTCTTTCTGAGTTGATGTGTTGCTTGAAGTAACCACCATTGTTAATTATTGGCAATTGATTTTAATTGTAAAATTGAATTTTCTCCGCACAGACTTCCGAAACAAGGCGACCACCTGTTTTATGAAAGCAACCGATCTTATCTTCCCTCGTTTTGCTTGACACCATACACAAAGCTCAACACCATAACCACTCGCTATGTTTCATTTTTAACAGACTTTTCACAATCTTTGTTTTTCTGCTCATCTTCGCTTTCGACCCAGACGAATTAACTTTAAAGCACTTGGCAATGTTGATTTCGTAAAACACTACCATTCCGAACTGGATCACTGTACCAGACCTCAATCTTCATTGTTTTATGAAACACTGTACCATTCCGAACTTGTAGTCAGCCTTTTAAAATTGATTTTTGTCTTGGAACAGCTTAAATATTAATTTGTAATTTTCTTTTAGGAGAAATCGTTTAGGAGCAGGTACGTCTAAAAAGTCGGGAACGGAGGAAAGCAGAGAGAAAGGGAAAGCCTATCTGCTGGATAAATACACCGGAGAATTGCTAGACAAAATTTCTAAAGCTGAATTAAGAGAGACAGTCCCAGTACCTGCCGGGGTCGACATCAACGAATGGCTTGCTACGAACAGTGAGTACCCTTAAGCTTTTGATTGGCAGCTATTGTTTGAAATTGAGGCTGAACTCACAGTGTGATGTTATTTGAAGTTGTATTGAAAAGCACACTGCCCTCTGCAAATTGAACCTTTTTCTTGATTCTTTTCCTCTTCTTTCCTTTTTGCCTTTTGAATACGACATCCAGGCGCGAATCCAGCCAAAATTTTGACCGGTTTCGGGGTGTTTTTCCCGGTTACGGTTCTGTGTTGTTGGTCCATAAATATTGCCCACACTTTATCATGAACCTGGGAAGGGAGCTGAGAATCAAGTTTAGTGATATAGGAGGACCCACGTGTTGGGTCCGACGCAAAAGCAAATTTTCGAAATTCAGCCTTCTAAAATGGCTAAAGATTAATCTCCCAGAGTAAAATTTAACAAATTACTATAACCCTCAGAACAGAGAATTCGACGATCTTCAAAAAAAACTGCTTCTTGATTTTTAGGACAAAATTGGGAGGGGCGGAGTCATGCTAAAACGTTAGTGACAGACGTTGAGGTAAGAAAGGAAGGGCGACCTTTGGTTCAAAGTGCACATCGATGTGAATAACAAGAAGCTGTTGTATTGATTGAGAAAATTTTAATTCCTGAACAGAATGTGCATCTACTTTGTCTCGATTATTTTCATTACGCCATGTTAACACATCTACAATGCAGACATTGCAATGATGCAAAAGTTATCTAGTGGAATGGTGCAAATAATAGACAATTAGATAAATTATACCCCAATAAGTTAGTAAATAGATCAAATGAAATCAAGCAGTATATAAACAGTTTATTCTCCTTTTATTTCATATCTCGTTTTAAAAAATGATTTAGAAAAGACGTTTAAAAAAATTTTATCTCTGAAAAAGTGAGCCCCCCCCTCCAGTGCCCCCCTCTAGCAATTTCGATTCTAATTTTCATGAATTTTTTCTGAGAGCGAAAGTCTATTCCCACAATACAAGACGTCAAATTCTAATTTGCATCTGTATTCCATTTTGTATCATTTTGTATCAAAGCGGTATCGAATATGCTTTTTAGTCACCGGTTTTTTTCGCATAAGGGAAACATATGGGCACCGGTTTTCACAGGTTTTCAGAAAACAATATCCACCGGTTTCAATATTGGCGCATAGATAGCATACTCTAAATTGTCATTGTGAGTGGCGACTGATTTCTCCGATTTTGAATTCCTCGGATACTTTTGGATAAAAGATGAATTAGGAAGCTGGGAGTTCTGTCGGAATCTTTCCAACAAGGGAGTGCTGTTGTGTGGGGGTTCAATTTGGTAGGTAAAAACTGTAGTCAGTCGGGGAGAGAGGCAGCAATTGTTGCAATTAAAATTTTAGATAAAATTCAAGATTTACAGAGAAAAATAGTTCTCAGAATTTGACCGGTTTTTTGAAACCTGTGCAACCAGTCTGGATCCGCGCCTGACATCCCGATTCTTTTATGTCAACAAAGAGGTAAAATGATATGCTTTTATTTTTCAGCTCTGTCATTTTACAATCACATCAATCAAATTTATTCAACAATAACAGATTACTGCACTGCTGTAACATGCAATAATCTTAGCTCTGGGAATACGTGAGTAATCTGATTTTTTTTCATTTGATATATGTGAGGGGGGGAGGTGGGGGTTTTGTCACAAGAATGCATGGTGTAAGGTGGAAGATGCCTTTTCGAGCACCTTTGATGAGCTATTCTAACACCAGAAAACAAAGTTTGGGTAAATTATTTGTTCCGCAGATCCCATCCGCGCATTTTTTTTTGAATTGAGAAAAATGTTATCCTATCTGTTATTTTGCAACGTGGTTTGCTTCTGCGCAAGCCACCAAAACAAAAAATCATTCCCCACGCACGACAAATGCTTTGCAGTCTGTCTCTCAAGATAATCGTTAAGATACTTTTAAAAATTTGCTTCTTTTTCACTGAAGTTTTTCTCTATACGAACGTTTTTTTGCAACGGGGAAAAAAAGCTACCAAGTACAAGAATGGTATTTTGGATATGTTTTCAGAAAATTGGATGACTTTTAATCCTAGAGCGTAAACAGGATTATCACAAAACAATAAACATACATACATTAGAAATTCTAGATTTTATTAAATAATTTGTTTTGATTTCATATTAAATGATACTAAATTATACTTGTGACAACTGAAGGGTGGCAGTCCTGCGCTTTTCACCAAGGGAGTAAGTAACTACATACGTGCCTATCAACATATTGCATTAAACCAAAAAAGCATCTTAAGCATTGAATTCGATGCATCTTAAACAATTTTTCTTCCTTTAACTTTATAATATAATAACGTTTGTATCGCATGGTGTTTGTTTTATTCTTCGTTCGTTTACTTTTAGATCATTTACTTGGGTTGACGAAAAAGGGAAGAAAATTCGAATGTCGGCTCATCAATATCTGGAACTTGTAATAATAAGCGTTGAGAAATTAGTCACCGACGAAGGAACGTTTCCAACGAAATACGGTAAATACCAATTATAGGTCATTACTTCATGGCGGGGCAGCTGAGAATTTTTCAAGATTCCTGGGATTATAAATTGCATCTAGGATAACCAATGTTTCATGTATTGTACTAGGCCGTTTTGGCGCGAATCCGTTTGGTGTCTCGCCTCCTTAACCCTTTTGGAGCGACAGCAGTGTCATTTGTTAAAATGGTTTGGATTGTATCGGATCTGAGTCAGATAAAGAGTATCTTACATGAGAGCTTTTAAAAGGAAGTGCGGATAAGCATTCTGAAGTTGCATTGTTTCATTTCGCTGCGATATTTTTTCGTGCTTGAATCATAGAGTAACCGGAGGAGATTTGACCGTTGGGCTTATCTCGTTGAATATTAGTGCCTCAAAGTTTCTAAACATGTCTAAAGTGTATAAACATGTCAGAACTTGAGGTTAAGAAGAAGTTAACCTGTGTGTGATTTATGTATTCAGTTAACGTTGGCATGAAATGCTATTTTGTGAGAAGCTGCAAAGTTAATAATCTCACGTGTTGCTCTTCTTCCTTTTTTGACTTGAATGTATGTGCACATCTTTGTTGAGTTATAACCATAATTTCTTGCAGATCAAGAATTTCCAATCCACTTTCAAACGACGATCAAAAGAATATTCAGACTAATGTTTCACGTCCTGGGTCACATATACACAAGTCATTTCAACAACATTCTAGAACTTGGCGAGCTTTTAGTTTTGAATACCGTATTCGTTCATTTTATGTACTTTCAAATGGAACATAATCTCATCGATGCGAAGGAGCTGCAATCACTCGAAGATCTGGTCCAAGCATTTAATTTATGACCCAACCGAATTCATGTTGACTAAGTTGCAAGTCAAGTGCTAATAGGAAAGTTGGTTTAAAGCAAAGCTCGTTCCTCGATCTGTTGCTGTTGACTGTGTTCTTAGTTTGGACGTCAGATTCATAAACGCAAAGCATGGTGAATGTAACTGTTAAATTATTTGAAAGAAGATATTGCTGATTTGAAATTGTACCAGTGAGTTTATGTTATTAGAAATAGCAATTTTTGATGACCAAATGCGCCCGTTTTGATAGCATGTTTTGTTTTTGTATGTTGCCGAATGTCTATGTATTTCGCGATAACGAAAATGTTATATGTAGCATAATTTGCCTGTTGATAAGCACATTGGACCTTCCCTTAGTGCAAATGTATTATTCGCTTCAGGTTTTGAATAAAGGGCAGCAGGCTGCATAAAGGAGTGGTAGGCAAGCAAATTGTTAGACTCGTTGCAGGAATCTGGTTATATAATTTTGCAAATGAGTGCAGTGTGAATATGTCCTTTCATTTGAATTAGATCCGTTTAGAATAAAGGAACCCATCCTTAACAATCTGCTTTCAAAATTCTAGTGAACCACCTTTACGAAATAATAATGTTGCAACTTTCCTGGTCATGCTAATCTTGAATTATAGTATATTATTTATTTTTGTTTTATGAAGATTTATTATTTGATTCAAAGTTCATGTTCAGCCCCTGAAATCAAATTTTAGCTTGCGTCATCTCATCGAAAATTAAAGAAAAGAATGCAGAATGATATTTAAATTGTTTTCTTAGAGAATTTACAGATGCTAGATGCCCTGTTAGAATTGCCATTAGCTGTGAGGGCTGTGTGTTCCAAATCTCACAAACTGTCAGGAACAGTTTTGCATATCAAATAACTAGAGTTTACTGGCTTTCAAACTTTGAAAACCAACGTCAGTTTTTGTCAAATGTAGATTTGTAGTAATTTTCAGATTAGTCCGAGACATTTCAATGTTTAGTGAATTTAGAGAGAAACAAAAAATGATCTTTCTTTTCTATTCTTTCTGTAGTAGCGTGTGCGAAGTATGAATAGGTTAACTGTTGATAGTGTTGATATTTTAGCATCAAAATTATCTAAAATTTACCATACTGTTCTGTAAGCAGAAGTAATGTTTTGCGCCTAATATTGCCGGTGAAACATGTACAGTAATTATTAAGTCAATCCCAATAATTTTACCTTTCACGGGAAAGTAGTTTTTTCGACTTGTTGGAAGTTTGCATTTCTAATAACTGGTCTGAGCTGGAATAATTATTAAGGACGATAATTTTTCGTTCAATTTGGGAGGTATTCGACTGACCAGAAAATTGGGTTTGGGGAAACCTGGGTACCAGAACCACAAGAAGCCGGGGATACGGTATAGAGATCCATTCGGCGGCGAGGGAAGAATATTTCTGACACCAGATTCAAACTATTTTTCTGAGACTAAATTGTGGAGACTCTGGCAAGAGTCTCAATGGAATAAAAGCCACCCGAAAGCTTTGACCATCATGACATTAAAAGTCCGTTTAGATATCGACAAATACTTGCAATTAAAGAGCTATAAAGACTGTTATTTTCAATTAAATACGTCAATCTAGCACTTCTTTGGATCCCTGTAGAAGAAAAGCATCATGGGATCTATTGGCGCCATATTTCAGTTGGCGCGAGCAACGAGTTAGAAAATAAAGGAAACTCACCAGCAACCAAAGTTATTCAAAGGTATTCCTTATTGTTGTAGATATCTAAGGTAATAATTCCTTTATTTCATTAGATTTTTGAAGTGGTTCTTAGACATTGCTTCATAGTAGAGTATTAACTGGGTGCTAAATTCTTTTTCAAGGACATGAAATCTGAAGGTAAATATGTAACACCTTGCGAAAAATGACGTTTCCTTGTTTGGCCTAAGTGTTCACAAGTTTCCAGGATGCATATTGCCCCCACGACAACGAAATAAGGAATAATTGGCTGCCTTCTTCCTTTCTGTTTTCACCTACTTTAAAATTTTGAGCCACGAAAGGGTATTAATGATGGAAAAGAATTAATTCAACGCTATGTATCAAGATGCGAAACCGGAAATGTGAAATTGATAAAGCAGTATACCCGAATTAAAGTAAGCAAACTTTCGTGAAATGTTTTGAGCATTAGGGTCATTTAAAATCTACTTTAGACTTCTTGTTCTCAATGCTCATTTCGTTTTCAAGACCGATAAGGAAAAAATGGCGTTCCCCGAAGAAAAAAGAGTGAAGGTTAACCTTGTCTATTGCTAAATTTTCACATTATTTTTTGTGTTATTTGTTCTATATTTAATTTGTTATTCCAGGTGGCTTGAAAGTTGTTATAGACTGTATATATTTAATTATTCTGTGCAAAGATGGCTACTCTACAAATGCAAAGGCCAAAAACAAAAAATGTAAGTTACAACCTTTGGTTCACCTTGAGACGGGTGTATTCTCATTTTATCATATATCAGTTAAGTTGTACCTCAGAAAGTTAGAAAATTGCTCTTATTGGTATCTTAGCATGCTCTACAATATTTGATAAACGAGTTTTACTGGCTTTTCGGAATTACGCTTAAAAAAAGAAACCTAGTATTATAATTACTGGTATAAACATTATTTGGACGATATCTCGGTTTTTCCCCACACTGCTCTGATGTCCAATTGAACTTTTGACATACCCTGGGAAGTAAAGAATTATTTTTATATTCCTTTGTCAGTGATGTATCTTAATATTAAGAGCTACCCAGGATTTTCCGAATTACCCAAGGGTATCCCAAATCTCCCTTGTTCCAAATTACTCTGATTACCCTACTTGTATAGCTGATGAGTAAATTAGATAGGTTATCAATTCATGTTATTTTGCAATACAGTCATCACGGAAGAGGAAATATTGGGGCTACATTCTTCCTCACTTTTTGCCTAAAGAAAAAGCAAAAAAAATGGACCACCTTCAATTTACATTTAAAAGCTCTGTCCAAAAGGTTTTGGATTCTGCAACTCCCCCCCCCCCCTACTCTCCTGGAAATGCTAGAAACCCCCAGCCCACTTCCGTATATAATATTTTTTCAGAATGCAATATCTAATTTCAATGCAACTTCTTATTTATGGCTCAAAATAAATTTTCCTCATTTCTTTTAAGTGGTCTTCTATTTTTCCAGAAGAGCAGCTTTCTGGTTGGTAACCGTTTTTTTGTCAACTTTCTGCGCATTGTTTTTAGTATTCTAAATAGTATAGAAGGGTCACATCGCCCTGATTGAGTATACATAGATACAAATTCAAATTTTTCTATTTCGCGTAGACTTAGAAATAAAACTTGGCACTGACAAAATCCTTTAGGCTCTTCAGATACATATTTCAAAATATCAGGTAATTGGTTCTACAACGTTTTTTTAAAAAAGCTGCGATACTTCTTAGTTGATGGCCTAAATTTCTGGAGCCACCCTGATGGTTATGTTTTCCGTATGTAAATATTAGCACACACGAATGAAAAATCGTAAAGAAAATAAGTGATTAAAAACTTGCAAACACCCTCAAAACATTCTTGCATGCCAATGAATTTTTTTACCCACCGATCTGGCGCATGCAAGATTGTCACTTTCGCAAAAGTCAAAACAAGGGGAAATTAGAGGCTTTGACAAAGTGCAATATTTTAGCCGAAAATTGTATTCAAAATGTATCAAATTTGCTCTAGAGTATTTTTGTTTAATTAAAGATATTTGACAGTTTGAATTTACAGGTTTCTTTTTTAGAATTAATGCGAAACAACTACCAAACTAAAACAGCCGTTTTAATGTACCCAATCAGGGCAAATTTAGGCCAAGTCAGTCAGCTTTATTTCACTCCTCTCTGTGGCAAAACAAATTGAAAGCTGAGTGATTTATGCCAAGATCCTTAATCCTCATGCATGATTTGTGCCTAAAATTGCTAGGTTAGCAGCTATAATATGCTCATCCCTTTAAAAAATAATTATGAAAAAAAGAGTACTGAAAACATCCTACACAACTACACATCCTACAAAACATCCTTTTTGGTCACAGCTTAGCCCCAATCTCCCAATTTTTTTCACAATAGTTGAAGCGATGTAAATGTCACGTTTCCAGGTACATACTCAATCAGGGTGATGCGATGCTATCTGTGAATGGTGTAAATAACATTGCAAAAATATTATTGCGCACTTAAAGTACTGGTGACTAAATTGTTACACCTACGTGATAGTGGCAGCAATCGAAGGATTTCTAAGGGAACTTGAACGTCATGTAGCACTATGTTTTCATTCCTTTCGTGCATTAAATACATGGTATTTTGTCCCTGTTTTCCAGGAAGCATGCTATGCGACTATTGATTTTGATAGAGCTTGTATCATTTTGGGAGGTTTTCTGAATGGATATATTTTGTTCCCCGAAATACATTGTCAACATGCTAGCTCCTCTCTTTGATGAAACGAGCCTATTTTGGTTTTAATGTTCTGCAGAACATTTGGCAGCTAAAGTTCAGCTTTGATTTTTCAGAGACCCATTCAATGCTTTTCGTCAAGAAGCTACTGGCTGTTGCTGTGAGTATGCGCAAGTTTACAGAAATTTAAGCTTATCTATGCTCTGAAAAAAACCTGACGATTTGTAGGAACGTCCCATGGATAAATTGTATGTTTCAAAACATTTTGCAATGGTGTTCAGGTAGTTTTAACATCAGAAATGACGTTGAAGCTCCAAGATGTTGTGTTGAACAAGCCAGAGATGAGAAGTTTTATTAAACTCTGGTGTTTACTAATCAACCAACAAACTCGATACACAACCGTTCAAAACTCAAATACGAAAACAACTCACCCTTTTGGCTTTGTGCCGCAACCATAGATATTTGAAAATTGTGTCTCACTTGACAATCAAATATTTAGTTTCTTCAAAAAAAGCGTCTTGTAAGAGAGCAAGATGAATCACTTTGAACTAATCGATTTTTCATGTTTTAGGTTTCAAGTGTCACTTATTTAAGGTATGATGAATGCACGTTAGAAAATATTTTATTGGAATTCGTTATCAATGCAACTTCATCGTATTGCACGCTTAGTGTATTAAACCTTCTAGCAGTGATAGAAAGTTTCTTATTGTTGCAAAAATCAGCATGGAATATTGCGATGCATTTTCAGCATAAAATTTCTGATCATTTTAGGCTTTGAGATTTATTTTTAGAAAATAACTAGGTCTCACCAGAAGTCAACTGAGTTCCTGCTTTACGGAACTACAGATGTTTGTTTTAAGGTCCTTCATTTTATTCATTCCTGTGTTTTATTCTTTCTTTTTAGAGCAATTTTTCCCGAAAATGCATTTGGAGAGAGATCTCTTGAAGGTTACCATAATTGTTAAATTTTCAAGCGTATTCGTTACATCCTTTATAGCTGCTTACTAGAGCTCCTTTAAAATAAAAGTTTTGAATCGTTTTGAAACCCGAGAGTGGCATTGTTTCTGTCGCCGGAAATAGGAGAGGGGGATGACAAAAATACCTGTGAAACGGAGTAAAACTGAGTGATTCCTATGATGGAAAAAAGCACGCACACTCGAATACTGTAAAGAGATGAAAAAATACTTTGAAAAACATTTGAGTGAAGTGACAATTGATGCGAATGAACAAAGAAGCAGGATTAAAAATTCATGTCTACACGTCAAGTACAAAGGCATGAATCAATTTTCGTTATCTGAAAACACTTTCCATTTTGTGCGTTTATATTGGTTTTCAATTAACGAAAGTTAAGAACGCATATCTCCAAAATAGTTATTTAAAGACTGCATTTTGTTTAGATCTCAAATTAAAGATTTTGCGGGAAGATAATGCTTGTCCTGGGGCATGTCACGTCATACAATGGTAGGCAGTACTTTGAATTATGCTATCGAGCTCATTTGTAAACTGCTTCTAATTCAGCTGTATTTCGTTTTGTCTTATTTTTGAGTTTCACCATTGTAAATAAATCATTTATTTAAAGGATGAAGGGATGTTTTGATGCACTCGACAAGAAATATGTAAGTCAATTTATCTTTCATGATCAACTTATAACAGCTCATAGCTAACAAATTCATTGACCATTCATTGGTTATTTGCATTTTTAGAAATATCTGCTATCATTGCAGCTATGCATCGACTTGATAGAAAAGGAAACACATCCTGCAGCAATAATTCTGAATACTATTTTGTTCATGTTTGAGGCTTTGGGACCATTGGTAGCTGCAATTTTGTCAATGAATGCAAATTTTCTAATACTGCAAAGTTCATGTGCCCAATTGGCTGCGCAACGTTCTTCCTGAAAGGATGCCAGATTCTTTCATACCCACTGCTGTTGTTTGGAGAAATTAAATTTGTCTATAAAAAGTGAATGATGATGCATAATGGATCTGTTAACATCGGTACCAATTATTTGTGATTGTATTATTTTCATCTTTCAGCTGCGAATGATTCTGATTGGGGTATGTTTCTTGGTTTCAAATTTTCACTTGAACGGATACTGTCACATGCAATTCTATCTTTAATCTGCCTTGTTACTGCATCTTGTTTCTTAATATATTTATTCAGATGGTATTTAATCAGCTTCCTAGTTTTTGCCTACCTCTGATCTTCTTCTTTCTCCGCCATCGACCGTTCCCTGTACAGCATTCGAGTTTCGCTCAAACATTTTCGTCTCCAGCTGGCTACAAATATGCTTTTGTGTCTTTTTAAACTCTAATCATGTGTTTAGTTTTATGTCATTATCAAAGAGAATAAATTAAGGTTTCGATTTTTGTGCAGCAAATTTAACTGCAAGGGGTAAGGATTCTTAAGATGCCCTATGCTCCTTTCTTTTACCTGAATATTGAAAGAAATATATAAAAATAAACTGAAAATTAAGCAAAAACTCTCTTTCTAGATATACGAGAATCCAGAAGATCCTAACGTGAGTAAATTTGCTCTCGCAAGAAGATCTCGAGAAAGTGCCTTATAGAAATCTATGGTCAACGGAATTGCGCAATATGATTCTTGTCATGTATATAGAAATACATAAGTAATTAGACTAGCTATGAACATCATTTCATAACTTAAGCATCAATCTTGAATAGCACATCTTTCACTGCTTTTGCTTTGCTCTTGCCTTATTTCGCTTTTTTCATTGTCGTAAATGATTTTAGCAAAAAATCATTTGAATAATCCTTTCATTTGACAATTTCTTGTAGACTATCATTGAACAATATACTTTCAAGGTGACTATTTGCTATCGTTTGTTTATTAATTCTATGTCTTATTGGATATTATTACTTTTTCAGATATTTTGTTATTTTTTATATAAAGGCAGCCTGATATCTCTTAGCGAAGAAAATAATTAGGTTTTACCCTAAAACCGTCCAGTTCTTTGGCACCAAAGCGTACAAAGCTGTCTATACGATTCGTCCCTTATATAGCATTGATTGCAATACATTGTTAGAATAGTTTTCTAATGTTTTTGTTTTTAAAATGTTTCAAAAGTATCTAACATTAATTTTTAGTTTTTATACGAATTTAAAAGCTGAAAATAAGCAAGTTATATACTGAATCTCAAAGAAAGTTTTTTCAATTCATTAGATTCTCCCTCCTTTAAAATTAAGTGAAAATGCAGTTTGCTGATCCTATAAATTCGATATTTTTCTGAAGGGAAACATTTTTATTCATGATTGAGTTTCATTAGATACATTTTTTGCATTAATGCTTATTTCAACTTTTTGTAGTTCAACTACAATGATAAGAATGGAGTGGACATTTACAGGTGAAATTTTTTCAAGATTTCTAACATCGGCTACCCCCTTACTAGCACCCGCAATTATTCGATTACGTTTCTTTAATTTATTGTCCTAGTAATGTAGCTTTGTATCTGCTACTTTTACTGTACCTTTGAACACTTTTTAGGAACGAGAAGAAGATCATTGGTGCTAGTACAGAAGAGCAAACTAAAAAAGCGACAATCAGGCTCCTCAGGTAGGTTTTTAAGTTATTTTAAAGCTAAGGCCAGAAACAAGGAAATGCCACGGATTCACTTCAATGAATCATCACTTTCAATCAACTGATATGTTGTTCTCAAATTATTTTGTGTCTCTTCTTTAAAAAGTCTGTTTTTTGTTACAGAACATTGATTCTTCTCAGTCAGACCCTTTCACCGTTGCCAGGTAAATACATCTGTTTTTCATGATGGTATTCCAATGCCTAATTTTGATAATTTTTTAGAATTAGTATGCTTATATTGACAAAATAATGCACTTGTCCCTTAGATCAAAGAAGACCAGTGATAACATCAACTTCTCCAAATTTGATGAAATTCCACGTTCATACTAATTTTTATAATCGCATTAATTTTCTCCTTTGAGTTAATATCTGTTGTTCCATTCTAATTGTTTTCTTTTTCTGTAGATGACGTCATGATGACGATGAAATTGTTTTACTACGATGAAGGTATATATATGCACAATTTTTTGTTTCGGTTTTTTCTTTCAAGCTCTAGCTGCAACGTTGATTGCCGAATTGCTCTTCTTTATTTTATTAAGTTTCTTGTCTTCAAATCAGTTTGTTGATTACAAAGAAGTTTCATCTTAGACCAGGACATGACTGTAAAAGGTCTACCTCCCTGTGCAATTACCAATAATTGTTAATGCCCGTCAGTTTTTCGCTTGAAATTACCAGTAATTCCAGTTGCCACGTGTCTTGAAAGAAATATTGTGTCAGCAGTTTTCTCTCCTTAATAAACTCAACTCTGTGTCCAATTTTTGTCCGAATCCTGAATTTCTAAAAGCTTTTCTTACACATTCATTTTCTATACTTTGCAGTGACTCCATCAGAGTACCAGCCTCCAGGTTTCAAGGTAATCACAGCGCTTTCCTTTGAAGTCGATGGACAGAGGCGCTCTTTCTTGGGATTGATCTGTTTACATACCAGCGTTATCCGTAAAGCTTTGCTAAACTACCCTCTAGCTTTAAATGTATTTGACCCGAAGCCCAATCGTGTTTCTGTATCAAAATATAGGTCGGCTCCTTTTCGCGTGGGCAGCTCAGTAACATACTGAACCCTGAATGTTCTCTACAAAAGTGGATGGGACAATAATCTAGGATCAATGCTACGTGAATGCAGCAAGAGGATTAGGCGCATTATGACCTTGAAACCCTTGTCGGCACTGTCCCAAGCTTTGCTTCTACGAGCAGCATTGTTCGCGAATGACACTTGAACATTTCAATTAAGTATTCAAACTTTGAATTCATTAAGTTTTCTTTAAAAATCAAGGTCAATTTTTTTATCTAAGCAGCTAATTCATATATTTTCAGCTTTAGAAAAAAGTGTTTTTTCCACCCCCTTTGAGTCGAACTAACGTACTTCCCAAGTCAGCAAAAGTTCAACAGGAATAATTGTGGGAGAAATTTTGAAAATTGAAGAGGGAATTCATTTTGAAGCTACTAAATTTTTACTTGAATCTCCAATCATTAATAACAATCAATTTCGACTGATTCTTATTTCTTGCCAGTTGCATATTTTCTTTCTTAAGGCCATGTTGTAAAATTGAGCATAATCGAATAATCCAATGCAGTGCCTTATCGACGTCAGATAACACCTCATTGTTTGCAATGTTATTGTGTGTAGAATTGTGCTGCTGATCCTTTTGCTTTTAAAGAAGAATCGATGACCATAAGGGTTGGAGAAGTTTCTACGGTGAGAATGGTTTGAATGATCTGTTTGAAAATTTAGTCGATATTGCTTGCAATGAACATCTATAGTGTACAGGCTTCTACTTACTTTGCCACATGAATAAACCACAGTTGTAAAACTCTCACTGCCTCTAAGAATGGAAACAAAAACCTCAAACATGAGCAAATGTAGAACATCTGAAATATTTCACCTTACTCTTTTCTCAGGCAAAATATCGTAAGGGAAAGATTAATCATGTCTTTGTTCTAAGTAGCAACTCTAAACCAGCAGGTGTTTATAATGCAAATGATTTTCAATGACTTACGGCTAGTTACTATTGGGGAATTCTCATTCTAATTTTTTTATCTGTTCTCTTCATGTCACCGTCTTCGAAACCGAAGCCTTTCCACCAGTGAGTATTTGCTTTGATATATGAAATTTCGCGTTGAAAAACAGTGACCTGAATAATTTTTTGTTGAATTTATTCTTAACTATGAAATATAAATGTAAAGAAATAAAAATTGTATTGCTGTGTAAGAATCAGGACAACTTTTGCTGGAAATCCTGCATGATTTATAGAGAGAAACTTGGTTCATAGTTTTTATGATCGTGAGCTTACTTCTGACACAAAAATTCAATCATTTGAAGAATGACGTTGAAAGTTGGTACAATTCACCATCAGCTGAAGTACAAAGATGGCGATGAGATCGAGGGACTGGCCTGTGATGAGCAACAAACTGGCGAAGAAACTCCAACTGCTAAGAAAATTGCAGCAAAGAAACCGAGCATGCTGAAGGCTATCTCCGAGGTATTGATGAGGAGGACTTCTTTTAAATTTTAAAAGAATTTTCTTTGAATAACTGTTACACACAATTGACAAAACAATCCATATGTCACAAGTGAATCAGAAGTGAAGTTTGACAATTTTATGTTGACTGTTTGTACTTCAATAACTTTAATCACAAATCAGTGCCTATCGTCGTAAAGTTTTGTGGAACCGATTGGATTCATGAAACACCTCTCTTCATTTCCAGGATCAATTCGAAGATGTTCCCGACACCTTTGATCCTGATTCTAGGATCGGTCAAGGTTCAGGTGTTTATATATTTATTCTCTTCTTGCTTTACGCTGCTCTTTACAGTGATTTTAGCTAGACGACCTTTTTGGTGATTATAAAGAATGAATAGCAGACAAACTTTTACCCAAATTTCCATATTAACAAGGAATCGTATGTTAAAACCACAATGTTATTAGGTTTGACTTACAAAAAGGTTTGATTGATTTGGCTTGCATTATTTTTGGTTTTGCTCTTCCTTGATATATCACACGCTAAACCTCTGTTGTAGATGGCGTACCAGATGACGAGATGCCATGCGCCACTGACAGGATTCCAGGTGTGACTCAATAGGTTTTAACTTTGCATTCATATTCTATTGCAACAGAATGATCGATCGAAAAAATTGTATGAACCCCTTCTGGATTGCAAAACAAGTTGCTACGTTTAACATCCTTAAAGGCTGGTTTCCACTTGAGCGAAATCTTCAGCGAAAATAAGTATTTGACTCCCAGCTTGGTACAAATCAAAATATTTCCAATTAATTGTATTTTCAACTGGTGCTTCATACTGTTGAACCTGCCAATGGATTTCGTAATGTTTGTTGAATCGTGTAAAACCAGAAGATGAGCGGGAAATAGTTGAAACTAAGCAAGAAATCCTTGATTTTTGAACATTTACTGCAGCAAGAATTAAAAGAATTGCTTTTTTATTTGCAGAAACATACGAACCATCCTCTGGAAAAAAAGGATTGGACGCGAGAACGGAGGTGTCTAGCCAGGTTGAAGATGACGCAGAACCAGCAGTGTGCTGTCACTGTGGCGTCAACCAGGTTTGGCCAGTTGTCTTCTAATAAAGCCAAAACGCTTTGATGAAATGCTCATTGAATCATATCAAAAGCCTTACCTTTCTAATGCCTTACCGTGCTAATGCCTTACCGTGCTAATGCCTTACCGTGCTAATGCCTTACCGTACTAATGCCTTACCGTGCTAATGCCTTACCGTGCTAATGCCTTACCGTGCTAATGCCTTACCGTGCTAATGCCTAAGGGCATCTCAAACAAGTGCATTAGCAATTGCTTCTAAGGGTCTGTTTGCAAAAGAAAACAGAATGAAGATTTAACTATCTGGAAACTTCAAATACATTGCAGGCATCATTTGATTGTGGGAAACCCAAACCCGGAAGTTATGGTTTTTGAGGTGATAAGTGAAACTTGCCTGATTTTTATGAATATCATATGTAAAGAAGCAATATGTTTCCTCTTAATTTGAAGGATGATGGGCTGATGATCTTGTGCGGTGTTTGTGAGACTTGGCAGCACGCTGTTTGCTTTGCTATCCTTGAATCAGCTGATGCGCCTGTCAAACACACATGTGCTACGTGTGCAGAGGTAGGCTGCTTTTTAAAGTACATGCAATCTCATTAACAGACAATAATAGGTCTACTTTGCGGTCAAATCAATAAAGCCATTTTAAGTATTTTTATCCATCAGAATGACTGCATGTTGGTACTGAATCCTAAGTTTTCCTAACTTTAGCTGTTTTTAATTTTACTCTGAAAATTTCAGTTTTACACCAATCATATTTAACATTATATTTTTATTTGGATTTTTTAAGAAGAAGTCTTGATTATTCAGCACTATTGCTCACGAGTATCTCCTATTTGTTTTACTTCGTGAAAATCTCAATACTTGAGGATTAAACGTTCTTCTGTAAGAATCTGCTGCCTTCTTTCATATGCTTCCTTTCTAAATCTTCTTTGGTCACCTGTTGTCTTAATTCTTGACATTTAAGTTTGTTTCTTCTAGAAATTTGACGATCATCGGTGCACAGACCCGCGACTAGAGAGGCTGAACAGAAACGAGCTCCAGGTTTGTGCTGCAATTCCTGGCTCAGGGCCTTAATAAATGCTTTCTTGAAAAATGATATTCATTCGATTGATCAATTAAATAATTCTTTCTTAAATTTGCTGAATTTTCGCCTCGAGTCTTCAGTCTAATTGGATTCCAGGGTATCCAAGAACTTTAGAATGAGAGTCATCTAATCAACTTTTTTATAATGTATTAAAATAAAGTTTTTATTTAATTTAAAGTTAGGAACAACATCGAGTTTCTTGAAGACACATGAATTTCCAAATACTTTAAAACGTTAGACATAAAGTATGTGATCGTGCTTGGCTTTTGGAGTTTCTTAGCTCTAACGTTTCCACGATAAATCCATGTTTACTACTCAGATCTCTAGAATAACCTTTCTGTTTTTTTCGGGATCGCTGTTGAAACATTTCTTCACTTTTATGAATTGTAAAAGCCAGATAGAAGCTCATGTCGCATACATAACTGGCGTCTATGCAACTGCCCTTGTCCAAATATTTTATTGCAAGCTGCCATTGTATTTGCAGCGTTCCATGATTTTATCATTTTCATTATAAGAGACAGTTTTTTCTTAAATGAACGGTTTTCTTTGCATCAAGAAGTTTTGATTATGCCATAAAAGAATTTTCTTGCACTTCAGGCAACATGCTTATGGCGAAGGGCAATGATAGCAACATCAGAAATGACAAGGATTACTGTTAATTTGTTGACAAGAAGACTTGGTAGGAAATCTCCTAAACTATAAGCCACTCTACGCATTGTTACGTAGTTGAGAATTTCAAGCTGGGCGACACTTCATATTAACATCCTATTACTGTGGTTCCTCCTTTCCACTTCTCTTATTTTAGATTTCTTTTCAATGCTTTACTTTTTGCTTTTAATTTTTTCGTTACTCATTTTTGCTGTCAAAATATTTTCTCTTGATATTTAGGGACCACCAGTACAATAGCGAGTCATATCTTGAAACGTCTGGAAAAGGAAGGCTACGTCAAGACCACAAGCAAAAATAAAAGGTTCTAATGCTATGTTATATACGAATTTTTAAATATTTTCGTAGTTACTGGATTCATAGCCTGAGATCTATCTGTAGGAAATTTTTTATTTTCGCAATTCCAAATTAACAAAATAATTTGACAAGTTTCCACTCCATCTTGTCAGGTGCAGTCTTTGTTTTTCTAATTTTTAGGGCTACTTATGTTGTGTTAATCTTGTTTTATTGAGTTTACCTTGAGTTTTGAGAGAGACTTTTAAACTGTTGCAATGTACCTTGTTCTTGCAATGTTGCATTAGGACAAGGAATTGAAAATCCAGCACTAGAAAACCAAACTGATTTTTTCAAATACCCAAAGTTTTATGCGCACCAAGATTATATCTTAGCAAAAAATGAATTTAAAAAACTTTTAATGATTCCCCTTAGATTATAATTTCCCAATATAAAAGAACATTACTCATTAATGTGGTCATCTCTGCAGAATTGGGAAGTTTGTCAACAAGGAAAAGATACTTCGAGACGGAGTGTGCACGTATTTCCGAACTAGCCAAGACGTGTGCCAGTCTGATCCAAACAGCCAGGAAAGCAACGACACACCCTCAGCAGAGGTAACAACATTTTGTTAGCAAGTGCATGCATCTTTACAGCGCACTTTGAGATGCTTATTTATTCATGTTTTAATGTTTTTGTCTCCTTTGTAGTTATTTCTACGAAAAACGTACACTTTCAAAGATTTTATTTGGAACAGGGTACCTTCTCCAATTCATGAATGGCTTTTTGCTGTATTTGCTCCACGCATTCGATCAAAAATTAAGGCTCTTGCTACACCTGATAGGGTGGCTGTTTCTCTCAGGAAATTTCAAGGGGTATCAACTTTTCTATTCCAAAATTTGCCAGTCGCCCCATGCATCGATGGTACTTAACACAAGGATTATGAAAACTCAAGCGCTTTCACATGCTCTTCCTCGGAAGAACGATTCTAAGAATGCATCGGAAGTAATTCACCATATTTATCGTGTATGTTTGATCTTAGTATGATTCCATAACTTATTTCAGGGTGTTGATGCTATCGTGACGCGTGCATCAAAAATGGAGCTTGAAGAGAAAAAACCACAGCACTCCTCCCAGGTATGTTTATACATAACCGTAAACAAAATATGGGTTTTGCAAATATCAGTTTTACATAAAGGAAACTGACTGAAACATGCTCTACAATCTTTAAGCAGCAGGTGCAAAGTTTCAACAAGTATTGTTGCAATATTCCCAGACTGTGTTGTGTTGTGGTTAGCATATGAGATAAGATTTTAGCATCGGTCATCCTTTAGCACAAGGAACGTTTATGGACATTTCAAATCAATCTCAAGAGACAGCTGATTGTTAGACATTCATTTCCTATATTCTGAAGCTGGCATTGTCTGCAAAATTTTGCCAATAATTGGTTTTAAATTTGTCTACTGGAGTCAGATCTATGCATGAAACCCAAATAAAGGAATGATAGAACGCGGCTGTATGTAGATTATTTTGGATGAGTTGATTAAACAGCTTGAAAATGATAACAAAAGACGTTGCTTTATAGGATAAGGAGATGAGTGAGATTCAGGATATATGCCGTGAAAAGACCAGGAAGAGAGTTATCTCGACAGTCAACGAGGTATTTCTGAAACTCTCTTTTTTTGGTTGGGCTTGCAGTTAAGTTTCTACTTCAATAATGATTAGATGCGGAAATATCATGTCCTTCTTCACATCAAGCATAGAAAACTTGTTCCACATTTTTATTCATTCTTGTGAAAAGCAAGCAAAAGAGCAAAAGATCTTTTTGTTCGGTATGATAACCAGGACGAGTCACACTGTAACATTTGAAAATAAGCCAACAGAGGCCAATAGTTTGCTTTTGATAATCCTATTGTTCAGTGCACTAATATCTTAATAACTTTACAGTGGTTTATTTTCGTTGTTCTCTTCACATGTACAGGGAGACGAGTTTGAGATCAGCGATAGTCAAGATGTGATGGATGCTCCCAGTGAACTTCGCCCGGCTAAAAGATCGAAAGCAAGCGCGGCTGTACACTCTCTTTTGGTATAAGCACGTAAGTGATATGTACATAGTTTCGTATAAGCGAGTAAACTATTTAGTTATTCACTACAAGCTGAATCGCATCCACTTCTTACTTTCAGTAAATTGTCTCTAAAAAGGGCTTCAGGCTTTTCAAAAAGCTAAGCAGTGACCTCCAATTAACCATTCATGTCATTGTAAAACTTTGATGCACGAAAGCAGGTTTTCCTTCATTTCTCGCTCACTGCGGCGCTTTTTTTAAATTTTGAAGAAACCTTTCAAGATAGAATTTCTTCCAAAAATTTTCTGCGATGCTGGTAATAAGGTATAGGAAGGAAGTGCTTTCGTCCTCTAGCAATGAAGCAGCTTTTTCTGCTTTTGGAATGCGTAATTTGACAACTACAAGTTTCTCAATTTCTTGTTATCTACCATGCTCCATTACAGAACAACACGATTTTTTATCATTTCATTGCAAAGCGTTGCCCGCTCCACCTTACCCAGTGCAAGGTCCTGCAGAAGAAATGATCAACAGTTACGAGACTTAACAGTTCCATGTAATCATAATGTTTAACAGTTCCATTTTTGATTCCACACTTTACACTAAACGTTGCATAAAGTTTAGATTGAATAAAGATTGTCTTCTTATGTGTTTGGTAGACTTTCGAAAGACAGTAAACTTGTGTTTAAAAAAGAATGTTAGTCTTTTTGTTGTTTAATTGATAATAAGAGGTAAAATCTATCAGTAATATGTACATGTTAATGATTCAAAGATGGCTATTTAGTAAAATGAATGTAAAAGTTGCAGTTAGAATGTTACATTTATTGATTTATGAACTAAAAGATGGTTTATTAGCAATTCATAGCTATTAAACATAAATGTTTTACATGTTTGCAATCCAGAACATTTGTAGGAACAAACTCTTGATTGTCTGTTCATATTCTGTTCATATAAATCAGGCTATAAATTGATGAATAATACTTTATATGGCATTTCTGATTACTACTGTTCATGCCAAAAGTGATCCAAATCATAGCATCAATGATTGTGATGATTAAACATTTATCAACTCTGTCAGAGTTACTCAGTATCTGGGATAGACAGATCCTTTTTCCAATAGTTTATTTTTGCAATCTATGTAATGTGGTGTGCATCACGGTTTTTGACATTTTTCGTTAATACTCAATTGTTTCCTTATTCAGTATTTCTGTTGAGACAGGTCTTCTTTTATTATTAATTGTTTGTTCCAGTTGAAAGCGGTGTTATAAGCTAAACGACTGTGAGCCGCGACTTTCAATCTGACGCTTCATGTTGCAACTTCACAACGCTTTTCTTTAGTGCTATTTGTCCACGGTATGTTCAAGGATTTGCGAAACCTGAACACACCTCTAATTCCATTAATAAACAAAATCACTTTCGTTGTCTTTAAACTCTAATAAGCTAATACGTTTGTTTTGCCAGGGTTTATTAAGAATTTACTTTGATTCTGATAACCTTTCAAAGGATTCTTCAAGCCTGTGCACGCTTTACATTCATCTTTTTGTCTTCTGAACTCATAACGATTTGAGGTAATGGCTATCCAATTTGCACAGAATGCAAGTCTGACACATGTGTGCTATTTAATAGTATTATTTTCTTCTTAATTTCATAAATCCAGCATTGGCCCACGTGGGTTTTATCTGCTTAAGAAGTATTACTAGAATGAAAATGAAATGGAGATCATCTCTTTTTATTGATGGCATAATTAACTGATGTGCAGAGAAAAGCTTCCTAATTTCTGCTTGCACTTTTTGAATTACCAGAAAATAGAGCTCTTGAAAGAAAGTCGTAACAGAACCTCTGAAAAGACGAGGGAGGCTCCATCAGAAATCTAAACTAGGATCCTTTTAAAAAACAAAGGACAAGGTTGCCTTAGAGTAGATGGGCGGTATTTTTACTTCCATTTTTGTCACCTGGGAAACCAAAACTGATCGTTTTCAATATTTTTCTAGGTTAATCGTTAAAAGGATAAATGTGAGCTTTCATCTTGAAATGTTTATCCTTTATCATTTACAACCATGTTTGAATTTCACATTTTTTATTAATAGGGTATCAAATTCAGTGTTTACGCAGTAGATGCTTCTGAAAACGATGAAACCTTAAGGAATTTACCAAAACTATTTAGTTCTCAATTTAGTTCTCAACAATCTTGAAACCTCTTTCTATCATCCAGTTTTTCTTTCTATTGAAAAGTAGCCAGTTGGTGATGTGCACGTGCCTTTGACTAAAGTTGCATGATATAATTATCTGGTTTTGCTCATTGGTTGATTTACGCAGTAAAATTTAAACATTGAAGAAGAGTTTCAGAATTACCGAAAGATAGTAGAACTTCAATGGTCTATGTCCTTTCACATAGACGTCACAGCGTGAATCATAACCATCATATCCGCTTTTTTAACATATGGTGGGGAGTGAATGTTTCTATCTTGAGTGTTGCTAAGCAGAATAAGCTAAAGTGGTTACAAAACCTTCAAGCTATGCTAATTGTTTCTTCCCTGTTTATACGATCCTCTACACATTCTGCTCTTACTATCCTTTCACAGCCCCTCTCTCACTTTTCCTTTCCCCGGTGATTTTGCGTCGGCTCAAATTCTATTTGTTCCATTCTCTATGCTTTCTATATTTTTTTGCACCTATCTTCGTCCCCCTGTCTCTTTGTTTAAATCGCATTACCCTCTATATTTGTCCCTGTCTTCGTCGTAGCCATTTCTATTTATTTCTTTCAGTGTACGAGCGTAATTTCTGGTGTTATCACGTTATCAATATATTGACAATCTTTAGCTTGAGATGAATGCACTATAGCCGGGCAATCCGAGCTTACGAACTGCAAGGGTCATTAGGTAACATAAGTCAATCCAAATATTAACTATCATAACGAGTCGCAGTCGGTGATACTCTTATCAAAGTCTTTATGGCTCTTGTTCCAACATTCGCAGCTCATGGCTCTCTCAAGTGTTGTGAGGTTTGTCACTTTGTTCTTGTCATTTTAACCTTGTCGTGTAGCAATCGTTATGAGCGACTGAGAGCCAAAATTGACAATAACACTTTATCATTGAAAGTCATCACTAACTTCTGCCTCTTTCTGCATTGAAGCCGCTAAACAGCCATTTCATTTTTTTCGAAACTCCGGTAGAAAATCATCACTAAATTCTGCCTCTTTCTAAATCTCTTTTCACTTTTGTCCCAATCCTACATCATTTTATGAGAGGAGTATCCTGCAATTAGATTATTTGTTATTATTTGTTATTTTATTCGAAGACCATTCTGTCAAAAGGCATTTCATTTTAAAATATATTTTGTTTGCATAAGATTTGGTCCTTTTTCTTGTCTAATCATCATTTTCTTCCAGTCTCTGATACAATCATTCGTTCTTGTATGACTTACTTTTTCTTGCAACGCAGTCCTGCTTGGTATTTGAAATGGTTAACAATGTCTTCGTGCGTTCATATCTTCTAACCTGACACAAAGGAAACTTTTCTGCATAATTTTGACTGTATATCTTGAAATTGTCATTTGATGGATTAATATTGAAAAACTACATAGCTTTTTGTTCTTTTAGACATTATTGAAACTCTTTAGATTGAAAAAACCGCTTTTACACAGCTTTCTTCTACTAAAAAACCTCATAGACACGACATTGTTGATATCAGTCATGTGAATTCAAAATCTGACATGACGTTAGCTTATATATCACCATAGCTGAGCAATACCCATGTCGCTTTAAAGGTGATTTACTACAGCATAGAATAATAATGGATTGTACAGTCAATGCTTAAGTAGAGGGCTACGTGGGACGACAAAATCGGCTCTTCGGTATCACCCACGGCCCGCTGGATGTGGTATCGCCCACAACCATTGTTGCATTGGTCCTTGATTCCTCGTAATGGTTTCAACTCTGAATATCAGCTCATGCTACAATAATTTGATTTTATTCAAGCGTCTGCTGATGCTACAATCTTTTTCTGCTTGATACTACTAATTGGCTCGAGCTGTATCACACCTTGATTTATTAATCATAATATCTGTATTTCAATACATTATTTATACAATACATTACAATACAATATATTTAAATGTATTCAATATTTCATTTCATCGTTTCTTAAAGTTCCTCTCAGGCGTATCAACCCTTCAATTTATGCCACAGATTAAAGAGAGCGCACCTTGCATATTCGTCTAAAATCGTTTAGTATCATCGGAGAAAGCAATGATCAAAATTCAGAACGATGCTTTAGTACCAGCAAATGACTTTTTTCGTTTACATTTCATTTTAAGCTTATTTCAATAAGTGTGTTGTCATATGTATCATTTCTGAAGATTTATGAAGAATAAGGGGTGAATTAATAATATAATTCCCTAATAAATCAGATGTAAATCTACGGCGCTCTAAAATCTGCAAGTCCTTTAATCAGATGCGGCTTCGATGTATCAACTTATTTGAAGGTTCTTGCCACGCAGTTCTGTATTTTGCTGGGTTCATGACAAAAGCAACATGACTGTCAAAGCCCAAATTGGCCTGCAGTATCCCAAACAACGTTGCAAATTGATTCTTTGCCCCCCCCCCGTGCTACTTAATTAGACAAGAGTACTCCATCCCACTAACGGCATCGAGGCATGCTGATATCTTCACAAATTTTCAAAGAATTTTTATCAAACAGAAGATTGTCATTTTTCTTCCAAAAAAATGCTTTTTAGGGTGTTTCTTTCTTATCTGACACGCGCAGTCGTTTTTAGGATGATATTTTCGCGCCTCCTTGAACAAATTCTGAACCCTTGTTGGTCAGGTAGGATTGTGTTGTTTTGTTGAGCTAAGCCCCACAAATCCGGCTACGTCAGACTGACCTCAAATTGCTAAACATAGCAGTTCAGCTCGCTGTCAGAGCTGGGGCATCCGAGTTTGCTTTCAAATTTTCTCATGTTGAATTGGCCGCTTCGTACGCACGCGTAACCACATACAGGTGCAACCAGCTGTGGAAAAGGAGCGCTTCGAGGCGTAGGCGGCATATCAGCGCGTCGGAAAACGTCCATGTCTCCCTTGTACACTATTAAGGACGTGTGGTTAAGCTACTGATAGACTAGAACATGATCGACAGCTAAGAACTATGCATTTAAGATCGTTGCTGCTTGACCCACTGGCAGAATACTGGCGAAACGTGTAAGTGCATGGAATTCGTTCTACGTACGTTCGAGCTTTTTTCACATGATGATGAAGAGAACAGACTGAGTGATCTAAATACTGAATGTTATTGCAATCAAAGGTAAATTAATCGCATATTACTTTGATAGAGGTTAATATTCTTTTATCAATCATGGTTTCCCTTTTCTCAGTTATTATATGTTTCATGCTTTCTAAAATGCAAACGTCCGAACAATTACGTTGGACAATATTTGAATTAATATACATCTTTCAAAGAAAAGGAATTAACCGGGAGTAAAGCCTATATCATTAATACATCCTTTTTAAACTTTGAATACACATATAACTTTTACTTATCGTAAGTTTGATACTATGTTAGCCATGAAACAGTGCTCGGATCAAATGTGGAAGAGTACATCAGTTATTGTGGTGTCACTCATGTATAAGACCTTTCGTCTTTAATGAGAACATTCGTGTTCCTACAAGAGATAAAAGTCACACTCGGTTGAAACATGAACCCGTATAGTTTGTCCCTAAAACCAACAACCTTCTATTGCAAACTGAATGCAGCGTGATGCTGTTCTTTGCTGTAGTAAAATTATGGACACTTGAAAGTGTCTGTTTCAATTGGTTGCCCTTTTATTGATGTGCCAAATTCTTTGGTTGTCTCCCCACGCACAATTGCATTTAATTCTTTCATCTGCCGATGGAGAAGAATTCCTACCTGATTCATCCTTGTCTTGTATTTCTTTTAAACATTCATATGTTCTTTCTTGATATCTTGATGGTCCCCTTAATAAGCATTTAATAGTTTTTATGTAGCATAATTTAGCAAAACCGCTTTCCAAAATTTATTCCTTGCGACCTAACCGTCTCGTAAATGGAATATTTTGTCGAGCCTCATTTAAATGAATCAGACAGTTCATTTTTTGCTTATTTCATTCAGTCAACAAACTTCTTATTTCATTCATATTGTGCGCCATTACACCCTTCATTTTAACACGTTTGTAGCTGTTACTTTGATTTATAAAGTAGCAGTGCATTAAATCTCTCAAATATAAAAATGCGGTTTATAAAAGCACTTCAGTCAAAGTTTCTCTCTTCATTACAACGTTATAAAGCAGCACTGTTGAAAAATCAAACGACTCTATTGATACATTGATACGTAGTTCAACCCATATCTGCCCAGAAGTTGTCTGTTTCCTCTTGTGGCTTTTCTTATCATGTCACGTATACGTCAAGAATTGCCCAAAAGGCAAATCAACGTGTAGAATAAGGGACCTTTCTTGCTCAACTCACGACGACTTTTTCTCTCGTTTCTTTAATAGGAACAAACCCTTATTTCATTTCAACTCACGCTCTATATAACTAACTCGTATATAATCTTCATCATTTTTTGTACTGTAACCTGTCACTCTGTAGCATGCAGTTTCTTAGCTGTTTAGCCACACACACCTTCCTGTCCTCATCAAAGAAACGCAGCCACTTTTTACCGTTTCGAAAAATTTATATGTAATTTTTAACGTCCAGTAAGATGGCTAATCTATTATATTCAGGGTCGGGTGGTTAGGGTGGGGTATAAAGTTTGAGCCCAAGAGAGTAAGTACCCTGAGCATCCCTATGCTTAATTTGTCAGAGCGCCCCCTTGGAATGCAACAAGCTTGACTTTTGCAAGAGCTTCATTCTATCAATGAGCAACCAAACCTCAGTTTCAAGCCTCATGTTGACAGCCTCAGTTTCAGTCTGCCGCACGAAGACGTTCGAATTATTACCTTCACAACTAGGATTCCTTTTCCTTTTTTGCCTCCCGAAAAATCTCCTTGCCACCCGTACCGCTCTTTGCATTTCAACCTTATTATCTTTGGGCAGAATTATTTGAACAGCTAATGCTAATAAAACAAGGTGCCATGCAGAGTAAACAAGAAAGAAGCCATTATTTTGGCTTTTGTGTCCCATCGACGGTACCACGCTCGTCACTGGGGCTCCCCTTAACAGGGATTTTACCTCCGTCATGCGTCCAAAAAGCGGAAACATTGCATACTAGAAATGTTATACCACGTAAAACAGGAATAGGAACTTTAGGTTGAATACCCTCTTAAAAAAGCTCTTGAATTTATTTATATGGCTAATTTGGCCACAGTTACCCGTATTAGCCGAGTATGCTGTATGAAAAGGCACGATCAAAAGCTGCTACGTATCGGTTACATATGTTTAGAGAAGGGTGACTTCAGGGTACAGCAGAAATATAAACTTCATGCAATAACGTTTGTCTAAAGATTTTGCGGTTTATCCATAGAAAAGCACAATTAATTTCTTTTGCAAATGCATGTGATGGTCGTGTTCCAAACCGTATCTCTAGGCTTATCCAGATGACGTTACTGAAATCAGCCGCAACGCTCTTTAGAGGCAGCCTATGCAAGTTTCTCTCCAAGGCGCGGGATCGCCAAATGCTTTAAATTCAGAATGAAACTTCTGCAAAGTGGTACAGTTGGAAATGCCATAGTTAGGATTAGGCAGTTCCGTCATTCAGCCCCTAGCATCAGAGAAAGTCTTTTTGAAACAAATAATAAACGGGTTCTCCTAAGTTTACTTTTAACCGTGCGAAAGAAGTTCGAATTGCTTAAAGATTTCAGCCATTCTAAACGGAATATGGCCTTGAACGCATTTCACAGTTGGAGGGTAGGGATTCATCAAAATGAATCCTTTTGCAGGTCGCTTAACCATCCCACATTTTTGCATTACGCTTGATTTGCTTTTTTGCCAAGGACCAATGATGAAGCAAGTCTGTAATCTTAGTGAGACAAGTAAGTTGGGTCAGCCAGTCC